AAGCCTATACTTTTTACAGCTCCATGGTTGTGGTTAGTGTGGCTAGCCATATGTCTTGTGTGATTTGTGCAGTAATACATGTACCAGTTTCGTCCATGCAGGTCTGGGAACAAGACTCTTGGCTGGGGTCTACCCGATGTTCCCCAAAACCTGTGTTCCCCGAAATTCTTAGGATTAGGGTTAGGGTCGGGGAACATAGGTATAGGTATGCACCCCTCTTGACTATATGTGATTATGTCATCCTTGCTCTATACGAGTCCACCCAGATGGTAAGCCCATTAACACTCTGCACCCCCACCTCCCGCATAATCAAACAATATTGGGTGTCAGCTACAGTTCTGTGAGATTTTACCCGGTAGTTGTGGTATCGCTTGTGGTATCCTGATTAAGTCTTTATCATGGGGAAGTGCGTGTGGCAAGTCAGGGCGGAAGTGAGCCTTCTTCCTGGACCGGTGGTCCCCTAGAGTCCAGCGTCGCGAAAAAAAACCTATGGATACACGAAATTTTAGTCCCGGTAACATTTTAAAAAAATAAAAAACTCGTATGATTTCTGGTGAAATTGTATTGATTGGTTTGAAACAAACTTTTGAAAAGGTTAGAGAAAAGGACAAGATACACACCGAATAATTTACCAACGAAGGAGGGAGAACCTCAAAGGATACAGGTATCAAAATACAGAAACAGTTCCTCGAAGCATTAGGAAGGAAATACTGAATTGAAACTGTGAATGAACGTGCGTGAATTCCGCCTATTCGCCAACGTGCCCTGTGCACTTCTTGCCTTTTTTTTCAAACCTCGGGTCGTCCGCAGTACGGATTGATCTCGGGCCTCGATATCGTTGACACAAATTACAGGCCTGTAATGTTCGAACCAAACAGAAAGTCTCCAACGCTGGCCATGCTTTACAAACGAATTCTTGTGGGATTATACTCTGGCCGAAATTTCCTAAAACAGGCACCTAAAATCAGCTGGAATGAGCTCGAAGTCGAACCTAGGAAGGTTTTTTTTTTCTCAATTCATATGTGTGTTTTCTTTACCTCGTTCGCCGCCATTTTGTATTCCAACTTTTGGGACCCCCGGCCCGTCACATCACCGTCTTAATCCCCTGCAGTAAATACTCCCACAGACGATTTCCATTCGAGTAACATTTTTGACTCTCTTACCAAAACAATATTAACTTCACTCTCTAGAAATATTTCTTGTCAGGTATAACTTCGAATTCCTGACCCTAAAAAGTGCGCTCATCCTGAAAGTTAAAACCAGAGTTTTTTCAGGTCAGAATCTTTGTTGAATCACTCCTAGTCTATTTTCCTTGAGTGACGATCGTAAATTTGTATTGACGTGAACACATTTCAAAAATCTGTGTTTCCCTTGACGACCGTAAGTTTGTATTCATGTGTATTTCCACAACTTTTCTTTTCCTTGACGACCGTTAGTTTGTACATGTATTTACGTGCATTTCCAGAAATCCCCGGTCAACTGTGACAACTGTGCCACTTTTCTTTATACAACGACGTTTCCGAAAACTAGTGGAAGATCAACAGCTTACATTGTGGACCATTGAGTTATTGTTGTTCGTGTGCGTCGGTACTGAGGCACATTGACGTCAGACATGCAGGAAATTCCTTGTTGCGTACAATTTAGACTCTATGAAATACGGACTCATTGGTAGTATTGCGCATGCGTAAATGAAGATTAGTGGATTGACATGTCAAGTGTGAGAGTTAGAATCCACTATACAGGAGTCCAAATTTTATATGACACCGGTTACTGTTATAAACCAGTCCCGGGCCGGATCATAGCAGGTTGTTCTAGATCCATCGACCCATCGACTGTAGGATAGGAATCTCGATTCCGACAATGGAATGGTTCAAGTCACGGTGACGCCATGGTTGAATAAAGTAGCATTCAACAAGTTGCTTTTCAAATAGGAAAGGTTACTTCTTTTTAGGTCAACGTTGATTTAAGTTAGAATGTTAACATTCAGAAAATATCTTCAATATTGTAAAGCCATAACAAATCAGAAACATCAACAATATATTAAATCGAATTACAGGGTTTCGTTGTCTGCAGTGCGTTGTAGCGGCGCCCCCTCACACACCCTGTCCTGTGTTGTATCTGTCGGCTGTTTCCACAAGCTTCTGCTTATTAAAACAGCCCCATGCTCTATTTGCTTCTTTTATTTTGCTGTTAACTTGATATTTACTGCTTTATTGTTTAACCCTTTTCTTTTAAGTTTGTATATATATATATTTTTTTCTCTTCATGAAGCATGGAAATAAATGTGAAGTTGAATTGAATTGAATTGAAATTGAATTGAAAAAAAAATCTAAAAACAAAACCCACTACCATGCCATAAGATTTTGCTTTGAATAATAAAATGATTTTATTCGGCAACAAGTTTTGTTTTGTTATCACACCGCGGGGGGGGGGGGGGGGGTATGGTTTCGGAAAAGTGACATCCCTGCTCATCCAAGCGACCGAAAAAAAAGTGTGCATTGAGACTGGGATTGTTGCTGGTATGTTGACCCGTACCGATTACGGGTCTTGTTTTATGATGACCATACGGTAATTAACGGGAAGAAAATATAGTCTTGTGTCCGTCCATTTATAATTATACCGTGGCCGCCACTTTCCGTTGTGGTATGTCTTAGATGCGCGTGCGCCGTAACCGGCGCGTAACACGTGACCTCAGTCGACGCGCGCGTGGGCGGAGTCACTGGTGACGTTGCGTGTTGAAAATAAAAAGTACATTGACCGTGCACTAGGGCCTTTTCGTCATCCATGCAGAGGACTGGCGACTGTTTAGTTTCGCAATGACTGTAGAATGGGTGTCAATGTCGGTATTGTTATATCATCGGGCGCCAGTGGTCAGCAACACAGGTGTTTTTTGTATTTTTCCTGTGACAATAATAATTGTACTTGTTGAACTGTGCACTCAGTGTATCAGCATCACAAGAGGTTTTTTTTTCCTTTCGCATACCATAACATTATTTGCACTATATTAAAATATTTTGGGTTTTCTTGTTGGGACACCGAGGCGGCACTTGGCCCCAAAGGGGCACTTGCCAATCAGCGCATGCTACTCAATAGGCTAGGCATGGGCTTGAACGAAATATCAACACCTCCATCCCTCGCAGGGTTTGGACTGAAGCCGCAAAGTTGCACTGATAAACCCGTCCTTACTAACTATTGTAGTCATGTAAGACACCAATACATAAAGCGAGCCTCCAGCAGTATAAACCTACATGAGACCATGGCCTATAATCCCTGGTCTCGATAACACTACTGTTTATTCCAGTACATTTCGGCAAAATAGTAAAGGAGAATAGACCAATTCTAGGTACATCTGCTCCACAATAATTCTCCCAATTCCCCACTGTAAGAGTTGCCCCATCCCGGGCCCCTTTTCCTGCCCTTTCCATATATTGTTTTACTTCCTCGTGTCGTCACGAATCTTCCTCTTGTTCACCCCCCCCCCCCCCTTATGGCTTATACTCCCCGCCCAGTGCGACGGATGTCGGACTACGATAACAGTCCGTCGTCAGATGACCACCGCAGATAAAACAAAGAAACCACAAACCTTTGTATGCATTTGAGCCGCACGTTGCAACTACTGCCGCTGTTTGACGAAAGGGACACCAAAACGACCCAATGCATCTTTTAAGTTGTATTCTTAATATAAAAAATATCCAAACGCTCAAAACATTCTATCTGTACTCTTTGTGAGTTTTATTGGACATTTTAATGCATTTTTTAAAAGAGATTTTCTGCCTCTTCTTATGCATTTTCCTCGTCTCTTTTGTTCTCTAAGGCCAGGAGAAGAGTATTCCACATGTATGACTTCAAGACTTTAGTTTTGATACGTTTGCTCGTTTCAATTAATATTAATGTCATCAGTAACATAAAGTTTTAGTTTTGTGTACATAGTTTGACACGTTTGCTCGTTTTAATTAGTATTAATGTCATCAGTAACCGTATAGTTTTAGTTTTGTGTAGATACTTGATAAGTTTCAATACAAGAAATCAGCTTGTTAGGGGAGTCAGGTTAGCGTAGCGGTGCTTTCCTCGCCTTCCACCGCTTTGACCCGGGTTAGAATCCCACCTGGACCAATATGTGCATGGATTGGGTTTTTTCAGTCCCTGCCTGATTCCATGGGTTTTCCCCAAAATATTTTTCTGGGCTTTTCCTCCCACCTCTAAAACTGTATCTTCTTCTCATTGTCTCCTCTCCATACTTTATGTTTCTTCAGGCTTGCGAGGTACACTACAGTGCCTAAGGCGTTTTTGAGGAATTCTTGGTTTCCTTACTACTAATAGAAAAAAAACATCACCCAGGGTCTGTATTAGTTTAAAGACACAAACCTGGAATAATATTGTCCTCTTGGCTGGAGGGGAAAAGAAAGTGGATGTGGGGGGTTGTTGATTTTTTATATTTTTTTTGTCGATGATTTTTCCCCATAACCTAGCCTACTATACCTTCTTCAATCATTAAATACCGAGAAATGAGCACCGCTTTCGGTCCGTGCCGCGCCGGCAAACCACAGCTCTTTTCCTCACTAGTTCCCGACTGCCACTGAGTTGCCGGACACAAACAGTCTTTAAAAATGAATATAATTCGAAAGTATTTATAAAAATAAGTAATATGTTTTTTTGCGCGCTGTAAGCCTTTTACATATAATCCACTTTTATCAACAACATGGCAAGGAGACTATAAGCCCTTTACACAATTACACAAAAAACACTCCAACGATTATATAGCGACAATGACTCAAATAATAGCCCATTATATCGGTGTACGTTGTACATACTGTATGTTTCCTGTTATAACGACAGATTTTAAAGCCATTATTCATGAGCTGGCGATGACGCGAATGACGTAGCGGCTCAGCTCCGGGGCAGCAAGTTGTTGGCCGCGCCTGCGCAGTGACGACAACTATCCACGTAGCCTTGGCCCGTTCCCTTTGCCATGCGATTACACGGTATAGCTGCTTATACTGTACACTGTACCGTAATGCACATGTACAGGAGTCTACGGTATGGAGGCATACCACGCGACTTTACCGACTATATAGCTAGCCCCACACAGATTGCTATCGCTCATAGAATCGTAATGAAGGTTTGGTAGAGGTTGTGTAACGCCACTCAGTACGTGAGACAGTAGGGAGCGCTCACATGTGCTGTCAACAATCTTACTTGTCAGCGGTGATTTCCAGGAGCAAGCACCCGGGCCGTGATACCGCTCTACCCGTCGCAACGGGGCCAGCAAACCCCAAAACCCCGGAGCTTACTGAAACTTCCGAAACTGATAATTTGCTGCCAAGGATAAGAGAGGGGGAAACTTCCGATATATCGGGTGGACAATCTTACCCCTCCCCCTTGCTTACCTTCTACGTTGTTTTTGAAGACTTTGGACTTGGATGAGTTTTCCTCTGTCTTGGTGTTGACTAGCTCTGAGTCAAACGATGCCAATGTTACCTGAACAGGTGGATTACCTGTTCCCAACCCATCCCGCCCTGGAAGATTACGGGGATGGGCCCATGGATAACATTACCAAAGGTAAGTTGCAGCCTATGTATCGGTAACTTAAAAAAAAAATAAAAGAATATTAATAATAATAATATTTTTTCAGGTGTTTAAACGGTCTGGAATTCATTAAATATTTGTATATGGCCTTTTTGTTGTCTCCTAGGTAACCTATGCATTACAACGTTGTTTACCAGCTTTATGTTGTGCTGTTTGTATGTGCTCTAATATTGTTTATAAATTCAAAATGCTGAAAATTCATAATTATGACATGAATTTGAATTCGTGTTGCGTCGAAAATAACAGGCTGTATTCGATACCATTTACTTTGCAATTGTTTACACGATTTTGAAATAAAGACAAATCTGTAAGCATTATTGGAAACCATTTCGCTTATTTCATTGTACACTCGGTCATTAATTTTTTGTGACTTTTGGAAGAATTAATTCAAATAATTTGTGAATTGACAAGATCGTGTCCCATTTAAAGGAGCAAAATTTAGGCGGACGAAAACTTCGAGTTTTAAATTAATAGATTGAATTTAAATATCTTAATTTACGGCGCAATTCGAAATTTAGATTTAAACATGTAAACAAAAATTGAAAATTGTTATTGTAAACTGTTGAACTCGGAGTGTTACGTCTTCGAGTATAAATAATGTAAACATGATGGAAATGAATTAGATATTGGATATAAATAAAGTTGGATGGAAAGATGCATTTTATCTGTATTTTGAAAGGTTTTGAAACAAAAAGTGCAATGTTTTTGTATTTCCTTTTCGCGCCTGCAACAATCCGGGGGAAGACGCCAGGATTCACGTGTTGTTTTTCCCGGAAAGATGTCTCTTCCTCTCGTAAGAAAAAAAAGCTAGGCGCTGTCGTTTCAAAATAGCAACCGGGCACGTAAATGCTGTTCACGGCGCGCACAAGTTTCTCACGCGATCCGGATTGCGCCGCCAACCGCCGTCCAGCCAATCAGCGCCGTCCGACGGCCAACTCGGCTGATCAAATATGCGAACGTGACTGTATCTCATCTGAATACATGAATATTAAGCCCGGCGTCCGGCACCTGCGCACAAGGGTAGTTCTCATCACGTTCAACTGGGTGCACATTAGCATATCACTCGGCTAACCTAGCGAACCCTGCGCGACTCGTGTGTACGTAAGCGCGTGTGTGTGGTACTATACCGTTATCATAATCGACGATACGACTCATGCTGGATATTTCTGAGGCTCATTTAGCAGTATCGTGAGGGGGAAGTGAGTTTTTCTATCCCTTCCCAAATCGATTTTGGGACTCAGCTGGACCCCCTTGTCAGTTAAGCCACTTTGTCCGAATTCGGAGCTGCGGGGTCCGTCGTTGCGTGGGCGATGAGTTGCGTGGAACTGGACGAAGTCCCACCATCGGAGGTGGGTGGCTTGTCGATGGATACGGAGGGGCGCGGGGACCCGTCTACTGCCGTACCGAATGGTGTGTCCCACCGAGGTCAAGGTTAGTGGTTTGTCGCATCATAGCATACACTGTGTCGTGTGTATAAAGCTTGCTGATTAAAAAATAGAAAAATACTCGCCGTGGGTTCGCCTCTCCATGAAAAAAAAATAACGCCATGGATACCTCATTATGCAGAGTCGTGTGGACAGATGCTCAGAAAAAAAACAATGCCAGATTGTTTCTGTCTTTGTTTGTTTATTTTACCTGGACACGGAGTCATCATCGGCGCAATTGTTTATTCGCTTGTTTATCGATTGGTTTTGTTTATTGGCTGTTCATTGGTTTATCGGCAAACAAAACACGACAGTAATGGCCCGCTCTCGAGATTATTTCAGCCGATGTTATGTTCATTTATGCATAGCACGCCGCTCTTCCTGGTGCGAATATTTTTTTTTCTCGAAAACTATCAGGAAAAATTATTCTATGTTTTTCTTAATTTTTTTCGTAAGTATATACCCGCACCATATTGTGCATTATCATTTTTACAACAACAGCAGATGGTACGAGTGTTTCATAGTTGAAAGTACTTCGAGGTACCGTGCTGTTCTTTGAACCATATCCCCACGATATTACAAATTCGTGCGGGCAAAAAGATGTAGGCCAATTTTGTCTAAAGTTCAGACTAAAACAAGTGGTTCAATATTATCATGCGAGACCCTATAATGTGAAGCATCTTTGAAGATCTTTGAAGATCTTTGAAGCAAGATATCATGTCTCCTATATAAGACTGTACCTCGTATAAGAAAAACTCCGAAAGAATAAGAAAAACTCGTACTAAGAAGAAGGCCTTAGCTAGTGGATCACATTATCCACAACCATTAATCCACCCTACCTTATATTCAAACACTCTACGATAGCCCGATTGTGCTTCCCCTTTTCTTTCCCGTCCGCATTAAAAAAAAACACTGAACAACATAAGGTGTTGAATAACTATAAGTTAGAACATGGAGAAAGGTTCCAAGCAGCTTACTTTTCGAGAGTGGTGCACAATAGCCAGGGCTTTTGAGAGGTTATAATGGGCTGCTATTGAACAGCTAGATGCTGATGTGGTGGTGCGAACCTTCCTAACGTATTCAATTCGTATTCGATTTTCTTTTATAAGTTTTATACTAACAGTATACCAAAAGTGGTTGAAATCAACATGAGATATAACTGTTCTTTATTGCAAATGCCGTGTATAGGGTTATATCAATACAAGAACTATTAAAGTTATGGGGTATCCCTACAAAATTTCCTGGCAAGTTGTAAAAGTAAGAAGAGAAACAAGACGTGTTGGTGTGCTGTGTTTGAGCCTGCAGTGTGCTTGCGCTAGCATACCGTACGGGCTCCCGTCAGCTTTCTCGCCCTCAAAACCCCTCGGGCGCGTTGCTGCAACGGCCCCTGCTTCCCACAATATTTATTGTAGCTCTGTAGTCTTCTGTAGAGTTCAGAGGAGTTTTGGGTATTTGCAATACAATTTTGCATGTTGTCAAACGGGTCCTAGATCTTAAACTGTGGTGTCTTTAACGCAAATAGCGGCAGGGCTTGTGATTTTTGGCTCGGATCGCTTACCTTAAACAATGGAGGATGCTTAAACTTACCCGCCAAATTCTCAAATTTTGATAACCGCGATTCTGTGGAACGGCCTGTATCAAAAAATAAACTAATTGTGGTCATATTTTATATTAATTCACTTAAGCTTACCTAGTATTCGTTTATTTCCATTAGGGGCATCTTGCGATTCTGTGTTACATTGGGTCATGTATTTTGGTCACGCGTTTTCACTTGAGCTACAGTCAGTCGAAGTACAGTTGTTTGGTATTTTTGTGTATTGGAGAATGGTGAGCCATGGGTGAACCATGGAGCTATAAACACAGCTCCATGGGTGAACAAATTGCAAAGTAACCACACCGAATTTCAACCTGTGATATTTCCGCATTCTGTCCACCATGAATTTTTAATGCACACCTCATTTTCGCGTCCGGGTTGTTTAGAAAGTGTTATGTAACCACAGCCAGATAATTCAGTTCGCATGACTGGTTTATCACCGCGCAGCATGTTGCATTGCACGAGCATAGACTCTGCTCTATGGCACGAGGGACCAACCAGTTTGCATAAACCATACCATTACAATCTTGAAAATCCATGCATATTAATCATTTACCAAATTACCATACAGCAGTGTATTATTAAAGTCTAATGCTTTGTCTTTACATTTAAAGACAAGGTTTAGATCTTATGATCTTTTACGTGCTTAAAAAATGCATAAATATAATTATTCATCACTTGTTTCCGTTTGATATAAAAAAAAAAGCTGGAAGAGCCCTCTTCCTGCAACTGGCTCACTACCGTGCTGTGCAGTGTGTTGGTTGATGCTTTTGTCATGTGCAGTTTGTTTTTAGGCCGACGAAATAATCGATTTTGGACATGTTTATATCCTCTGTGTGTTTTTTGTCGGTGAGAAACATGCTTTTGAAGAGGGTTCGTGTAACATGATCCTTGCCGCTTATTTGCATAAATTTAGTTAAGTTGATTTAAGTCAAGTCATTTATTATAATGTAGGACAGATCCAAACAAATATAAAGACCAGATGTGTGTTTCATTCGCGCCCCTCGCAATCAAACTTATTGTTGACTTGTGTCCAGAAATTTGGCCCCAAATAGGCAGCGTTTTGTATTAACCACAGCACGGAAGGGATATGTATAGCTGATGTACATTGTACATGTACATGTACAATGTACATGTACATATATACATGTACGTTGTATGCAATGTACATGTACATGTACATGGGCATTCAAGTCGTAGCTGTTTAGCCTTGTGTACACCGCGCCGGTGCCGAACCCAGCGAAGTAGACCAATCGATGTGTTGGATTTGTGTTCTCCAGCCGCCATTGTGATTCGGTCACGCCCTTTCTTTGGGACTTTCATTCAATAAAAAAAAAAGTTTGTTAGGTTTTCTTTATGCATGGCTACGTTTGGGGCCACTGTCGAAGCAGAATAACGATATCTTGACACTCTGGGGTAGGACTTTTGGAGAGAAAAAAACCAGTGGTGCACAGTGTGGTCTGCAGTGTGTCCTTATCCAGCTAACGCCTCCGACGACATTAGAAACCAAACGAGCGCCACGAGACATCCCCTTTAAGAGCAACTGGTCCAGTTAGAGGGAATATAATCTTAAAATGGCCATACATTTTGAAATGTAAAAAAAAACTGCATTGTGTCGCATTCTGTGCGTACTTAAGGCACACTTTATTCACGTGACAATAATAATCAAAGGCTATTGGAAACTTGCAGTTCTTTGACCCCGATATTTGGAACAGAAGCCGAAGTTCGAAGCTCTGCGTTTGTTTAAAATACATGTGGTACCGATATCTACCGATAAGTAAATTAGTCATAATGCCTGTCGAATGGTCGAATATACCCGGTATCCATGGGTTGTGTGATGCCGCCGTGATAACCATCAACTCAACTCCTTATCGAAAAAAATCCTTGGAAGTGCGGACAGTGAACATTATTACAGCATTGCACACGGTCTGTCCCCTCCACAAAACTTTTACCGGTTTCAATCGCACCTGGTCTCGAGAATGGTTGGTTCCAATGACCTCTTAATCAGCGCTGCGAGCTCCGTGGCGTATGGAGCGCAAACTGTGTCACAATTATGCACCAGTTATTGTGCACATGTATTGTGGGGGGGGGGGGGGAACATGAGCGCGAGGTAAAAAAAAAGAGTCTTGTACTTATTATTGGAATCTTTTTTTAATGGTGCATCGTAACTTTGTGCAGAAAACGTGCGCCTTGCATATATGCATAATAAAATCTGTCGACTCCGTGCATACACTGAACAAATAAAAATCTGGTATATACGTCCATGTGAGCAGTGTGAATTGGAAGCGATTGTTTACTGTCTGGGACCAATATTGGCATATTTGCACAACGGGGGTAAAGATAGACAATACTTTTGTGTGTACAGAATAAACTGTTTCAAGTATTCCACCGGCTCTTCGGTGGGGCTTCCAATGGGTTGGCGTACAGAGCTTCTTCACACAGTCAAATAATAGAATTCACAAAGGTGAACAGTTTGCTGTGGTCCGCTCTATCATTGGGAATGTTTCTAGGCCCTTCAGTTTTCCTCAGTTTAAAGTGACGATGACCTCATGTACATGTACAGTCTAACCATAGAGCAACTCGAGCTGCAACAGTCAGCTTTTTTTATCAAATTATTCGGAAATATGGAGCCTGTGGATGGCTTGAATTGACGTTGCTAGGTGACAGTATTTATCTCCGTGCTTGTGTCTGGTACCCATGCGTGTCCACATGAAACCATAAAATTAGCTGCAGGTCCATGTGATTATTAACACCAAGGACGATATATAGTCTGCAAAATCAAAATGACCATACTTACCAGGCGTTGAGTAAACTATCCCTGTGGTAGAATTTTTTTTTGCCATCAGTTGTAAAAGTTGTAAAAGAAGGAGAAAGTTCAGCAAAAGAAACAACTATACTATAGATCGTTTAAACTGCAGTTATACATGCATTTGAGGTATGTGCTTTTGAATACTCGTCAGTAGGCCTCTTGTTCATTGTTAATGAATTAACATGACAAAACATGCCTCAAAGATGGTTCCTGAATGCAATCAGTCTATTTAAGAAAAAAACCTATATTTTAGTGCATTAAGGCCCAATAGGCCATATGGCACTGTTGTTAAGCAGTAATAAATGCTGAGAAAATTTGAAGTGTTATGCAATTATCGGCCGTGAACCAGTCACTATATAGCAATATACACTACGTGACATTTTGGCTGGTTACTTGCCTTTGCTTAGCAATATATTTCTGTTCAAGATGTTATCTGCTAAGCCGCTCATAATTAAACTGTCTCCAAAACTTCTCTGAAAACTTCTCTTTCCTACGAATTTAGCCTTTCAAGAGAGAATAGTATACGTTGACACTCCTGAATGTGGATTGTTGAAGCAAAGTTGTTTTCCATAATGTTTGAGGTGATGTTTATGTCGTTACATTGCCATTGCAAAATGTGATGCGCGTTCAGGCTACCTAATATGACCGAAATGGGCGGGGCCCGGCTTCACACGCACAAACCGACTTCTTTTCGGATCATTTGTGATCTGAAAAAAATCTAACCCCACGTTCCCTAGGCAGTGTCCACGTTCATATTGAATGGTAAAACTTTCAAAACTCGTCACCCGTAAACTAGCCCCAGGCGATGTGGTGATCCGGAACGGGTCAGTGTGTCATATTTTGTGTAGATTGAAATTTTAAGCAATAGTTAGTGGTTATACAAGCACGAAATTCAATTGAAGGATGATTTCGTTACCGCCACGGAAGAACAGTTGAAAAGTCTGTTTGGACGCGCGCAGTTTTGTTGGGTTTTGTTGGTAGATTGGACGCATTCGTTATTATGCATGGTTCCCCAACACGCATTCCACCTGCTTCTAAATACTACGAACTCAGTGAATGATTTATGACACTAAGTAGATAGAGCCGTCACTACTATCGAGGAAACAATATATTCCTATTTCCCCGCTTATAATCCTAGTCCTCGGTCATATCATGGAGCTATAGGTCCATGGTCATGTGTCATACTGATTTTGATCGGAAATGAAATAGCGGTCCCTATAAAATATTCAGGCCGGCGGGGGGAAATCACCCAAAGCCTATTGGGTTTTGTTGGTTTCATGCATGTGGTCACACGATCTTGACCTACTATTACGGACATCATATTAACCACGCCTTTTTATTGTGTCCGTTTGTGGGTTTTGTTCCCTCGGGCATCTGAGATTAAGCGGCGTGCGTGCGGGGAGATCCGGGCCGTGTTTTGGGACCGATTTCCCCGGTCTAGCTCCGGCGGTTGTGGCGTGCCTAGAGGAGCGCGCGGCTGGTAAAATTGGGGAACTCGACGACGCCTAAGTGCCGACTCTACCGTCAAATTCCAAAACTTCACATCGAAATCTGTACTAATTTGTAACATCATGAATGTACCCTACTTATGAGAAAATTTAATTCGGAAAATAATTCAGTCTGGACTTAAAAATATTTAGGGTTTGACTCAAGTTTTACTTAATCCATTTTCATGTTACAAGGCTTCTCGGTAAGTTCAAAAGCCCTTTCTCAACGGAAAAGGACATTTTCCAGCACTGAAAAGCCAGCCTCTGGAATTGGGACTTTTTGGTGACAAAAAGTTTTCGTTGATGCCGTGGTCGAAAAGTAACCAAAAACTCAGTTCTCCCTGCCTACATTCCCATCACTGAAAACCCAGGTTACTCTCCTTACTTCCCAGCCCCGCCCCTCAGGATGGACTTCAACTTCGAGCAGAGTGAGGTCAAACCGGAATTCGACGAGTTCTGCCCCGTCTGTGGCGACAAGGTCTCGGGCTACCACTACGGCCTGCTGACCTGCGAGAGCTGCAAGGGTTTCTTCAAGCGCACGGTGCAGAACAAGAAAGTGTACACCTGCATCGAGAACAGGAACTGTCTGATCGACAAGACGCAGCGGAAACGATGCCCGTACTGCCGGTTCCAGAAGTGTCTCAAAGTCGGCATGAAGCTGGAAGGTGAGTTGGTTCCGATACATGCCTCAAATACATATTTCAATCCATCGCCATAATATAGGCTAGCATGTTACGCAAGGTTATTTTTACGACAACTTGTTCCTGGCTAATATCACAGTAGCTGATCTTTAATTCAGTGTCTAAACATTTGAGGAATTTCTGTAAACTAATGGAACATGTTTGTGGTTTTTCCAGAGGGTTCCAAGTTGCCTGTGAAATTTACCTCGTTTGAGTCGACCCTTAAAATGGTCGAGTGACTTGTGTTTTATTCAGGAGCAACCATAGTCTGTGAATTCAATTCTGTATTGTGCTAACGAGCTCACTTACCTATTGATACTAAAGAGAAAACCACCATCTAAGGTCATTTGAGTGTTGTGTTTGTGCCTTCGACAGGTTTCCAGCTTTAAAAAGGTTTGCCAACTTCGCTGAGTTTTTCTCTGCTATAAAGCAGTGTTTTGAAAATGCGCTATGGCAAGCTGCATTGGCCTGGTGCTCCCGTTATCGAGATTTTAGTGGGTGAAGGTTGCGTAGATGCGATTTGCTCCATTTAGCAACTGACTGTGGACGCCAGACCTTGGAAGCTTTTTTTTTCGTAGCTTGCTTGACAATTATTGGTGCCACTCTTAACGGTCAACTTGGCGTTTGATCCTATTCAAACAAAACAATTAATTGACCAGTATGGCCTAAGGGTTTTTTTGGCACGGGTTTCGCCAAACAAGTCTTTGTTTATGTAATACCCTTGCCGTTAAAAACACAACTCGATCGATACCACAGAAGTTGTATTTTTTTTGGGAGCCTAAAATCACAGTCTGGCTCCTTGGAGTTCCCTGGTGCGATTTCAAACAAAGTCGTCCGCAGTAACCAGACTTGTTTTTTTTTATTTTGATAAATCGAGCTCAGACTGCTGAAAAAACAAACGGGTATGACAGGCGAAGACGGGGCTAGGGCCGGAGAGACCGGTTCGCGAATCCGGGAGAAAAAAATTAGAAGAAGAGGGGGAAATGTTCTGTCGAAATTGGGAGGGAAAATGTATTAGCGGAGCCGGTGGGCTTCCATTGACTAAATAAGAATTGATCATGATCGTGTTAAAATGGAATTAAGGCGGCGCCACTTGTCTATGGTGAGTGTGGCGGGCATTGGGGGAAGGCCAGCCGGGCATGCTTTGTATGATTGCTCGCCTACTATACGTTCGCTTGACCATCGACAATACAACAACAAAACAAGACACGCTTGTCAAGCATGAGAGAAGAAGGTTTTCAAAACCATGATCCCGTGGAAAGAGAAATGGGAAACCCTTGATCAAGTATCTGTGTCTGTTTTTGAGGGATGATGTGTATTGTTTCTTCTTTTTTTTATTTGTCTTCAAATGGCCACCAGATGTTACGTTTTTCTTTGACGCAGACAACGGGAAATAATTATGTAACATAAATGATACATGTATTCTTGGTGTAGCACTGAAAATGTGTTAATTTTGTTGATATGCCTTTATGAATGATTATGTCGAACTTGGCGCATATTTATGATATTTGATTTGGGGTTTTTTGGGGGGGTGGGATGATAAACTCAGACAGACATTTCCTGTGATCCTCGAATTTTAAATTTACTTTGCAAACAAATTGTGTAAAAATAACACCATGTGTATATATTGGACCACCGAATCAATTTATATACAAAACAGTGTTAAATATACACAATATAGTTTCTCACACTGTAAAAATCACCACAGTTTAAAAAAAAAAAAGGACAAACGGGATATGTAATAAGGCTCGGCACTACTCGCGTGAGTTCTTACTATTAAGTCTTGCAATAAAATTAGTACCACTTATTGGGTCGGAAACTTTTCATGCTGGGTTACAAAACCGCAAACTATAGTATGAACTTTGGGTGACCGCAAGGCGCACCGCTGTGGACTTTGGTTTATGCATGTGGTGAGTCGAAATTCTGATTCGACTGGAAAGGAGTCTAAATCTGCACTAAGCTGCAAAGCTACTGTAGTCAGTTGGGTGCACGTTAGACTGTTTTCTAGGCAATATAATGTTGTTGGGTTTTTTTAAGCCGGGGAGGACTCGCACTCCCAATACATGTACAATAATAAGGGACCATTTAAAATGATACGTACGCGGCTCAGAAAAGTTGCTTGTTAAATCACCATTTTGCATGGTTAATTGATTATTCCCTCAGGCAATTTGTATTTCATATGAAACTGTTAAGATGTATGTATGTGGGTTTGGAATAACCACACAATATGGTGATACCAAACAGATATTCACAAGATGTAATTTGCAGCGGGGTGCTGTAAATTCAAGGGTTTTGCCCTTTACCGGCGCATTTGTGTTTATAAACACTGTGTACTCACTGTATACAGTATGGCCTGGTCATTTTGCTTGAGGTTTAAAATGAGATTTCGTTGTTTCCTTGCTTTATGAGACTCGTGAGGCTGTGATTCATTTAAAATGGAATTTTAATTATTATTATTTTTTTTAGAAAGGAATAGTGAAAGAATTCGTCATGTGAGATTGATGCTACAGTTTAATTTCACGATGATGGTTGTTCATGCAGCGTTTTCAGACCAAATTTGTCTTATAGATTTGATACCACGGGATAGTGTATCCTGGTTGTACTGACCAACATGCAAAGCCTTAAAAATCACAGTTTTGTTAAATTTGTTCTTTTTGTTCGTTTTTTTTTTTGTAGCCGTGAGACCAGACAGAATGCGCGGTGGTCGCAACAAATTCGGACCGATGTACAAGCGAGACCGTGCCCTCAAGCAGCAGCAACGGAACCGCATCATCGCCAGCAGCCGGGCCGTCTCCGCTCCCGGTAACCCGGACATATCCATGGCGATCAAGAACATCCAGGCGGCCGCGTCCAAGAGCGCGCCCCTGTACCCGCCGGCCGCCGTGGTCATACGGGACCCCATGATGAACAACAAGCAAGCCTCGCTGATGAATCTCGCCCAGCCCACGTCGCTGGTGCACAACGGTTACCCCAGCGGAGTGGTTGTGACCGGGGGCCCCGTGAGCAGCAACAACCACCATCAGATGCAGCCTCTCAACTACACCACATCGGCCATGGGGCATCCGCAGAACCCGACTTCCAGCCCGCCTCCACCGCCGGCTGCTCCCCCTGCCTCCTCCAGCACATCCCCGCTCCTCCACTCGGTCAAATCGGAGCCCGATCAAACCCCCAATCTCATCCTTGAGTTGATGCGAAGTGAGCCTGACCACTCCCAGCTTCAAGCCAAAGTGGCTGCCTTCTTGCAGAGTCAGATGAGCCTTACACCGCCCGGTGACTTCTTCAGTATGATCTGCAAGCTTGCCGACCAAACTCTCTTCTCCTTCGTGGACTGGGCAAGGAATAGCTTGTACTTCAAAGAACTCAAGGTGAGAATTCAATGTTTTCTTCCAAACTTAGACTTCAAAAATAAAAAAGAGGAAATTGCTTAAAACCTTTAGAGATCTAGATTCGTTCTAAATATTTCCAGAACTTGGATCAACACGAATAAGACTGATGCAAACTGCTTTCTGACTGGAGTGACCTGAAATATACAAGTCAAAAAAAAAAAAAAATAAGGCGGCCTTTTTAAAGATCGATACGTCAGGCCGCCTTGATTGTAATATATTTCAAGAATGGACATATTTTTCTTCTAAATCTTTATACCCTAGTTTTGCTGTCCAATTTTGTGTGAAAGGTTTTGCATCATGTTGGTAAGAAATTCCCATGCAATTCAAGCAGAACACAAAATAATATTGAGCAATTCACGAACCACCGCTTCGAATGACGTCTGTTTGGCGGTGTTTTTTTTCTCCAAATTTGATTAGACATGTTAAATTGTAAAGGGGCGTTTGTCCATCAAACTGGCAAATAAAATAAAAACAACAGCTTTCTTTGAAATGATTCATACAGCATACAGCATGTTGATCACTTCTTTTAAAAGACGCCATTTTGTTCATATACATTGAAAAATACAATATTGCACAGTGTTTACACAATGATTATGTTGCATATATCATCAGTCTGTGGGATTATCAAAGAACCAAAAAAATAGGATCTAAATATTATTATGTACAGCATTTGCACGAAACAGACATGATATAGCTTCGAGCAATGACCAAGCACGCTACTACTACTAGCGGATCGCGTGCAGTGGAATAATCCCGGCCGTATACTGTCCACAGATACTGCCGAGAGATTCCGCCAACACAATGGGAAGATAGCGCAGATAGCAAAACCTCCGTTAAAAAAATATGGCCAAATTATTTTCGCTTGACTGGACGCTTACATCTCGACAATAAAAGAGAGGGGAAAAAACACACCAGGCCGGCAGCGGACGCACGCATATACGGGCAGGGTTTTCGAGATGGTCTGCCAGGCAATCAGACTCGGTACGTACCGTGGCTTCGCCCGAGCTCACGGGGAATGAAACAAGCTTTTGCCACGGTGGAAAAAAAACTCCCGTAAATTTTCCGATTATAATTGGCGGTGGAACGCGGCGGAGTGCGGCGGAGGGAAAGGGGAGGAATGGACTGGGAGATAATTTATCTGCGTACGCGAGAAATCAATGGTTGTTACTAACAAAAAAATCGGAAGGGGAGAAAGTATATGACTTTGCTGAATAATATGCATTGATTTGGAATTTTTGAAATACATTTGTGTCTTAGGAACAGCATTAATAAAGCATTCACATTAGTTTTGTTCAGTTCAAATTTATAACCCAAATTTCGTTCCCAGATGAACAATGATGAAGTTTATCCATCAGTATACACTCCCTTCCCAGTTGTTCAGTTAAAATGTATCTTTTTGTGCATTAAAGCTAATAATTGGTTGGACTAGCAGTACCTAATTCAAATACAAGTGATGTATTAAATACTATTTTCATTGTCTTTTTGTATTTAATTTCGAGGAGTTCGGTAAAACGAAAACTAAACCACTTGCCGTACTGCCCATACTGCAGCAGAAATAATTTTTATAGCCATTCCCAGTTTTTTTTATGCAGTCTCCTCTTTTATGATTGCTATTATTAATATGAACAATGCATGCTTCGTGCCTATTAGCAATGTAATCACTAATTTATACAAGACAGATGGCGTTCATGCCATTGCAATGCGCATATGCAGGGAAGCTCTATAATATACGCTGTCCAGATCGTTTCCGCCTTGGTCACAATGGACGTGCGATTGCGGCGTAGTCGGTCATGGAAGAACTCCGGCACCGACCGTCCAGTCTGACCCCTCCACGCTGCGTTTAGGAAATGAAGCGCGGGTATGGTGGACAATAATGTCCCCTGACCGTCTGTCCGGTGGTTTTTGGCTATAGGTATAAAGCCCGTGGTCCGATGGACATTGCTTTTCGCTCGGACGACGTTTGTTATGGGGCTTTTTAACAGTTGTGTTGAAATATCAATTAGGTGTTTTGCTACTATAGTACTTGCCCCGAGTATATTGCGTATAATAGTCTTTACATGATATTCACAACCAACTTCTTGACAGAGACTTTAAGGTTTGCTTGACAATATTGTGGCGAAGGGTTTACGAATCCTGGCTTCGTCTCCGTGTTTGGCTCCAGACTTAAGCTTCGTGATTTCAGTCGCCTGACTTGACAGGCTCCAGTACAAAATTGGTCCATTCTCCATTAATTTAGCCACACCAAATCCTGTCACACAAAGGCCAATGGTTGGTGTAGTTTCATCGGGTCGGAAGTTTTTTGTTGTTGTGAATCTCGAGTTATGGAGACGAAGTTTAAACTAGACATCGGCTTACACAGATTCGTTTGTTAATACTGATTTTGTACACCCCGCGGTAATTGTTGGTGCTTCGAATTTCTTTCCTCCACCCAGGTCGAGGACCAGATGAAGCTCCTGCAGAACTCGTGGAGCCAGCTGCTAGTCTTTGACCACCTGTACCGGCAGTCCCATCACCATGGCGACGGCATCCTCCTGATCACGGGCCAGACTATTGACTCCACTATGCTTCCCATAGGCCTGGCAGCCATGGGGATGGGGGACCTGACCGACCAGATGGTCCGGATCATCGCGCGCATGCGCGACCTCAAAATCGACCACAAGGAGTATGTGTGTCTCAAGTTCCTCATCCTCCTAAACCCTGGTAAGTTTCATGAATTATTCATCTTTATGAATTATTCATTATCAATCATACAAGTAACGAATTATGTATGAACCTATAGCTTTATTCAAATGTCAAGCCAGTTAATTATTCATGAAATTGAATAACACCCCATGAATAATTATACGAGGAGTGCATCGAACCTCGGACTTTTCTTGCCATTAAAATAAGTTACTCTTTATTTACCAGTTAATGGCATTTGCACCTGTTTGGCCATGCACTTGTAGCCATGGGACCATACAATTGGGTTTGTCTTCAAGTCCAGTTGAACATCATTTGCAAGTATCATCATTAATAACAGCAAAACATTAAAGGAACTTTATCTTGCCTATTCGTAAAAAATATTAACAATTTGAAGAAGCTGATTTCTTGCAAACATTACAAGATCTTTCAAAACCTAATAAGCAATACTCCTATTGCCTTAAGTGGCAAATCGTAAGGGGGAAAATCAACCATTGTATTTGTAAGAATGCCTGGGGTGGAATTACATTTCATTTCCTAGCAGATGCAATCAAGGAGATATATTGTATGAATGTTGATTAGCTGTTGGATCAAGCACTGCGGTGAAATGAAAAAAAAAAACGGTCCTGTAAAACCAGCTAGAATGTCCTATACATTTTACTATAATCTGTTGTCTGTGTTTGTATATCTGGCGGACCTTCATAGTCTTTCACTTCGTGTCAGTTTGATTGTGTTCAGAATCGTAAACCAGTTTTGTCCCGTACCCAGACAAAGTCCCGACCGAGGTCACGGCAATTGACCCCTCGATAGGGAGAAGGAGAGAAAGACCCTTAATCGGGCTACGTCATTCCTCTAATCAAGTCAGCAAGACAATGAATATTATACCCCGGCCGAGGTCAGCAACAAAAGTGACCCCTCGATTGGGAGAGGCGGCTTGCTTGTCCCTGTAAATCGCGAGACGTCATTTATTAATAATTTTTTTTTTACCCGCGCTTTTGTGGCTGAATAAATTAAATGGAAGCGGAAGGCCGCGGCTTGTATGAGCCGGGGCGGCCTGCCATTGTGGCCCAGGTCAGCGATTGGGGATTCCAATTTGATTAGAGAAACAATACGAGGATCTTTTTTTTCTGGGGGAGGGCTTAATTGGGTGGTTTTACTGCCACATCAATCAGAAATATATAGCACTTGGTTTGTGTCAGCGCCTGTGACATCTTCTTATAATGAAGTACATGTATCTTCTGTCGTGTACCTCGATCAAAATATGTCCATCTTTGCACTGGTTCGAGTGCTGCAGATTAAATGCAATTTTTCTTCCCCTTCCCCTCACTGTTTTTTCTCAATTATCGCGGCCGTTGAAGATGTCAGCGTTCACTTTAATAACAGCTACGGGCATATGAAGAGGCAGTGGGGGGAAAGAGAAAGCACCACTTGTCGTTATCTAGTGATAAGAAGCGTTAGGCTGTCATTCAGTCATCGCCGATGCTCCACTCCGCGCTGTTAACCGCTGCTTCACGGCAGCCAAGCCCCTCTTTTCTCTCTCACGCCGTGGGCTCACTCAATTTCACGGCGTGACCTTGGCGGGGCATCGCCGCCCACCGAACACGGGCATGGGGCTCCCTAAGGACTCCTGGGTGACCACCGATATATCGACGTTAGTTACCCCCAAAAGAGACAAAATCCAGTGGCGTCAACCCATCCCGAGCGGCTCGCCGTACGCTCGGCCGTCATCACCACCGCCTCTAAAATATCATTATCTTGGGTCTTTATCTCCGAAATAACAAAAAGCCAAAAAGCCCCTATTCATTCCATGCGCGCGTACGTCGTACATCTGTGGTCCAACCCCCCCCCCCCCCCATTCCCCTGCCCACTCCTATAGAGATGGATAGATAGAAGATGTACCTCGTATGTCTCGTAACATCTCCATCAGCTTTTCCTTCACCGACTTCGGCCCGTCGCTGGCTAGCTTCCCTGGGCTTGTCGCTTGCTGCTCCGTCGCTGTTAATCACATTCATGACTGCCATAATACGCCGTGTGCCAAGGTCGTCAGGGTGGAAGTGTCTTTTTTTTTGGCCTTCCCTCCTCTCCTATATCCATACCTTTTTTTCTTCCTCTCGTTCCCCGTCCCCGCTCCTTTGCAAGCCTAATTACGCATCGAGGTGTGCACGTGAAATAGCCAAGATGATTCATACATTACTCCATCCTTGCTGATAATTTGCCGCATGCACGGGTGTGAGCCATAATATACGGCGGTAGAACCTTCCGTAAACCGCGTGTAAAAAAAAAAATACAGAAAAAGAAATCTCCCAAAATTCGGTTTGCTTTATTCGTGAAATTGATTGGGGAAAAAAGACGCAAGTTATGTGTGTGTAACAGTAATGTGTACACAAGAAAATGTACTGATAATCTTTCCTCAAGATGTAAACAAACTAGGCCATATATTATATTAGTAAAAAGTTTTATCGCGGCAAAAGGTTAACAGTTTGCAAAATTGGCCATAATACCCAAATTAACCAATGAATTCAAACACCCAAATATGATAAGTGTTTTCCATTTCACCACGATAATAAATGTTTCTCTTGTTTTATTAAATTTGCAGAATATAAATGTTCAATTGACTCGTAGTTAAACCACTATATCGGCAGTCTTGCTATTTTAACTCTGCAGCTAGCGCATCAGCACACGTTTGTGGATTTTTTCACTTTTTGTTGGTCTGTTCAGTTAATTGCAAATTAAGGTTTAACTTTTGAGTTTCGCAATATGATTAAAATTGACGCATTGTTATAGGGGTCTTTGTCTCTGATTTCTCATTAAGTTGCACCCGATCTGATATTGGGCCTTTGAAAAGAATAAAATAGAATTGGTGTGATTTAAAGACGGGTTCTGTTTGTCAGGAATTCTGTATAGCACATCAGTTATTTTCCCCTCTGGTTTTTCAGATGTAAATACACTCCAAGACAAGCACATCATCGATAATTGTCAGGACCGTATCAGTGGCTCCCTGATGGACTACACGATGACGAACTACCCAGGCATCAACGACAAATTCGGCCTGATGCTTCGCGTTCTCCCCGAGATCCGGCAAGTCAGTCAGCGAGGGGAGCAATACCTGTACAGCCGGCATATGGAAGGCGAGGTACCATACAACAGTCTACTCATGGAGATGCTCCACAGCAAGAGAAAGTGAGACACGGAACGGCCGTTTGGCAGCCGGGGGAAATTGCCACTCCAACAAATCGCAGACTCTCATAATTACCACGTGATAACGCTAGAACGCGAAAGGTTTTTTGCTTCAACGGCTGTTTGATGAGTGGCCTCCCATCTGCTGAGACAGTGACTCTGAGCCAAAGAGTATTAATTTTTTCTAAAGAGTAAAAAAATAAATTTGGCTGTTGTAATAAAGGGTTTTAAAAAGATGATTGTGAGAGTTCGGTACTTGTATACATTTAATGTAAGAACAGTACCAGTGTAATGATGAAAACACACGCAAAAACTGCTCCCGGTCTTGATTCCTGAGTAAAATCTGGCAACTCACCGAAGGTAAAAAAATGGATCAGACTAAACAAATTCCACGGCTATTGTTGCCCTGAGAGAATTTCGGAGGACAAACTGCCGTGTAACGGCATTTTGTGTGTCGTCGTGATGCCGTAACTTCGGTCTGTTGACCGATTTTTGTTTTGCAAAAGCCTTAAGCTGCAAACTCAGGAGGTGATGGGCGTGTCTAACGTTTGAATAAAATTGAGGGGGAAAAACCAGAGTGTTTTTGTGTGAGAGAGTATGATGAACATCGGTGCTTGCCATTACACCACCGCCACAAAATGGCGGCGGTCTTAATTTCAGAGGTACCATGTATTGGCATTTCTGTGTAGCTGAAAGGAGAAGGTTTAAAAACAACTTTTAATTTTCAAAGAGTTATGGCCCCTTGATATCTTATCCTGTTGTGGTGTTATATTGATGTAAGATTTCAAGATTGATGTTTGCATTATGGAAGAAATAAAGGAGAGGGCGCTAAGCGCAAACTAAAACAAAAAAAACCACACGCACAGACAGCAATGACGCTAAGCTAAAGCTGTAAACCAAAGGTTTTTACCCGTATCTTTCCTTCTGTGTGCATGACCCCCAACTCTGTGCTTTAAAAGCTTGGTATTACATGCCTAAACCTGAGTGAAAACCAACTAAAAACATTGTAAGTAGTTTAACACTAACGATCAGCTATTTTGAGTCGGTATGGTTAGACATAAAAAAAAGACTTGAAAAGTTCGCCTCCAAAATGAACATTGTTGCATTGATGTAAACACACGGGATGACTTGCTTGTATAGTACTACATAGCGTAAGTGTAAATGTACAAAAATTATATAATTATGATTATATTTCTGTAGATTGTTTGTTTTTTTTTTTTTTTAGATTCTTTTTTTTTTCGTCTTAATATTTCACTGGGATGACGTATGATCATCGTCTTGTTTTTTTGTTTGCTTTTCAAACGTGGGAGGTATCTTCTTTCTGAAGAGATACGATCGTGAAACAAGGAGATAAATGTGTCGGTTGTGTTGAAAGTGTGTACAAGAATTTTGCACTGAGGAATCAAAACGTCACATCGGTGACTCTGGATCTTCACTTGAATCTTACATTTGAATTATAAATTATATTTTGCCATTTTTTCGAAGCACGCTCAAACACACGATTCATAAATCAAAAACTCAGATCCGCGTTCCCAAAACAGCCGTATATGAATTCCGTCAGATACATTTTGTTCGTGGATATTACGTGTTTGTTTCGCCATTATAATGACTTTTATTGAGCGTCTGATAAAAATATCAACAGCAAAAATCAAAGGGTATTAATAAGTACCTTTTAAGTCAGGAATATTTCTTTGATTCGAACACAACTCTTATTTTGACACCAATAAGTTGACGTTATTGGAATTTATGTGTGTGATTTGGTTAATATATCTGTTCATATAATTCGCGTCTGATATATTTTGTGCGTGATGAATTGTATGAGATGGAAGCACTAGTCCCAGGAGCACCAAATTTCACCAAAACAGTGAGACTTTGTCAAGAATCAAGCACATGTTTCTTCACTATAGTATTCACAATCCGGCACAAAACCAAGTACATGTAAAAGCTTCCTTAATTCTTAAAAAAAATGTCTACACACAATGCAAAGTTTTGTACAAGCGGTACCATTTCATGGACATTATAGAGGCTGTCACGGAGGCTGCCATGTTTGATGCGTTCCCGACGCACAGGACAGGGTTAATTAATAGTGTCACTTGCAAGGCACCAGACTTTTATTTTTTAAACCGGGTCTATATTGTATCGTAGCTGTTTTGTGTAATGTTCTAAGGTTGCGTCTAATAATAAAGGCTTATCTTTTGGCTTAAAGAAGGCACCCAGTGTTCTTCACATGTCAAATATTTGCAACTTTCTCTTGCATATAAAATTGTCGGCTGTGTGTCTACGGAAATCCTCGTACGCTCGATTTGAGTTTCCTCGAAATACAATCTGGAAAGTTTCTGCATGTTTTATCATCGTTTGACAGTCTGCGAGTGTGGTACTTAGTATCAGACGAGGAGAATAGAACGCTGATGTTCTACCTTGATTGTTTAATTGAGCACACATGTTATGGGCGTCCTTTTATGATCAATAAAATGTGTGTAAATAAGGAATGTTTTCATGTTGCCATGGTGACGGCTGAACTCCACACAAGCGGAACTTAATTACACCCCGCCTAGAAAACGAGTCATGTTGCAGAACATTGTGTAGAGTTTTTTTTTTCGGTTTTGTTAAAAACTGAAGAAAAAAAAAACCTTGTTTACGTTTTGGTTCCTTTGTGATATGGTATATTTTGTGCTTGAGAAGCTTGTTTTAATGTTTTGTTTAACTGCCAACCAAGATGCCAATATTTTAAATAAGAAAATGCATGATCCAAAGTGAGGATGCATGGTAAACCCCAAAACAGAACTATAATTTACTGAAACCATATCACGGCCGCCAATCGTGGTCGTGTTCCTAGTTTTCTCGTCGATCGTTATCGTGGCATTTTCGACATTGTGGAATTAGTGCCAGTCTTGATTATGTTTCCTCGTTTTGCTGTTCCAAGCAAGAGCTTAGAAAGATAATTGTTCTTACTTAAAGAAAATCTACCTTAAATTCCCCCCCCCAAAAAAAAAAAAAATGAAAGAAAGTGTTGATTACAAAAAAATAGATTTGGGGGATTTCATATTCTTTCGTCATGTTTGAAGTGGATCATACATAAAACTCACAAACTATCGCTGGCGATTTTTCCTTTCCGTCAGTTTAAGCGCGAGACAAGGTTACGTATCTACTGTTCTTATTCTAAACAGGGTTTATAAGAAAAGGCTGTCATTTTTCTCTTTTTTTACAATAAATAAAATAGATCAATATGTATAATATGCACACAAAAAGGCTGTTGCAGAAAACAGCACTGACTAAAAAAATTCGTTATTTTTGACACCAACTGCACGCTGTGAAATTCACTTACTAATATCAATTGTTTTGTCTTTAAAGTAATCAGAAACAACTCTCTATCACTGTGAAAAAAAATCTGTAATTATTATTGAAAGAAAACTTTTACCATTGTAAGATATAAGATTAAAAACCTTGTACGATGTTTGTCTACAATTTTCTGTGTGGATCTGTGGTTATTTGCGTTCGAGTTTTGAGATATACATGTACAATTAATTTGTGGTTGAGGGTGGGGCATTCTCTTTATTTTTTTTTGGGGGGGGGGGTGAATTTGCCATGCAGTGGCATCCTTCATGTCCACACCCACTCCCTGAAGTCACGTGATTGAAATGATGTGGTCTTATATAGGCTGAAATTTGGGTTCTTTGGTCTACTTCAGTGCTTCAAGGCAAGTTTAATCATTTGCATTTATCTCCAAAGTATAACCTACCGAAATATCAAAAAGCTTACTTGGATTAAAGATAGTTCTGATACTAAACACCCTGTGAAATTATTCCATCTGGCTTGCTGTCATTTAGAAGAAATCAAGAAATGTAGGTGATTTGGAAAGATTGGTCAATTAATTGATTTTTTTTTTAAAATGAAGAGAGATATTTACGAAATCGTGATTGGCGATCAAAAAAGTTGCGCGTGGTTTGTCGCACTGTTTTGTTGAAAAGTGCAATATCCACTGAGCTGAAAGTTCAACAGGTTAGGTTTTGAAGTTTTTCTTTGAATTTTGAATGGTGTTATTGTTGGAAACGAACAAAATGCACGAAAAGCAAATGATCACAATTTCCCAACGCGTTGTTCTTTGTTATATCCCAACATGTTTACCTCGCATTCGTAAATTTAAAAAAAAAAGGAATAATTATTTCTACACTTTCGGAAGTCATATCCCCATTCAACCACTCTTTACAATGTAAAGAGCGCGTCTGACAAGCGTTTAAATATAAGGGAAAGTAAGACTTTTAGAGCCTAAAGATTTTTTTTAAAGGTGATAATTCATTCTTCGATAGGAATTTTGCACAAATCGCTTAAAAAAGACATTGTTTGAATAAAATATTGCCTTCGATCTAGTTTCATTTTCTTACGTAAAAATCGGGTTAACATTTGCCTTTTTTGTTTCACAAAATCAACGAGTGAATAATGATCGATAGGCCTACAATGCTTTGTTCACGACGTGTGTCATTATGTAGCACGATAATGACCACACACATTATACTCGATCGTAACCCTATGCATCTGTGCAGCACCAGGATTCCAGTCAAAGCAGTGAGTTTGGCGGTTTTGAGACGTCATCTTACATTGAAAAAAAAACTGTTTAATTTTGCCGACGCGCAATCCTTGGGCGTCAATCCGGGGGAGGGGGGACAGGGAGACATGTCTGCCCCCGGGGGACAGGGGGACATGTCCCCCCCCCCCCTTTTTGAAGGATGGGGGACACAGTATCAAATGTCCCCCCCCCCCCCGATTTTGAACTCGTGTTTCATTTACAGGACCCTTATATGTAATACAATGTATTTTCTGCTAAGTAAATATTGGTTAAAGCGGTGTTCAGAAATTTCCCCAGATCGCACCACAGAGCCCCTTGCCTTTAGCTTAGAATATAATAGCTTATTCAATGACTTCAACCTCGAAAATGATGTTTAAATTATTATCTTTTGCTAAAAAACTATTGGTTAAAGTGGTCAGAAATTGCCTCAGGTCGCACCACAAAGCATCTAGTATCATTTTTTTCGGGACCCTAAAGCGGGCCCGAACCCCACGCCGTATTGCGCAAGGGCTTCGCGCTTCGCGCTCGCATTAGTTCTGATCAAGGTATGCCCCCCCCCCCCCCACTTTTGACAAGCGATTGCCCCCCCCCCCCCCCGCCAGAAACCGGAGACTTTTTTTGGCCTCATGCGCCTGATTTTAAATTGATAATGCATGTAAAATCTCCGTTGCATCATGAACATAGGTTTTGATTATGATTATACATGTATGTAGGCCCTACTATTCGTAAACCTAAAAAACTGTCCTTTTATTAAACAGTACTAAAACGAAATTTAACAGGAGTATAATGGGACGGTGTTTTGCAGCGTTTCTTTTGTCTTTGGAACTGTTTTCAATCGTTTGGGCAGCAAAGAGGTTTTTTTTTAATCATTGTAGCTAGTTCAAAAAGTGAAGCAGATAAATCGAACCTATAATGCCATCTCGATATGAACAAAGTCATAACTCGGGGCGATTGAAACCGTAAGTGTGTGTTCTTCCGACAAAGCGAGGTTTACCCAATCATTTAAAAAAAAACTTGGGTATATTTGCCGTGATCTCCTCGTGAAAAAAAATGACACACGTCAAAATTTTAGAGCAAATTGCATGCCATGCCCCCATTTTATCAGGTTTGTTGTTTCTTAAATTTTACCAAAAAGGATGTGTCATTTTCTTCTCTTTGTATTTAGTTTCATATTATGTGAATTTAAAAATATGTATGCATGTATATCAAAACTAACTTTAAATGAAATTGGAAAAAGGCCCGGACGGAATTTTCAGCCTTGAAAGGAACAAATAATAAACCGTCGATATTGGATGAGAAACACGATTGTTGCTATATTCATAGAGTTATGGGCTGGACTCCTTACGTAATGCTTGTGTAGCTCTGCGGGGGGTGGCTAGACATTGCCACTGTTGATGCCATGTCTGGTTTGGGGCATATCAATTGTTGCAGGGGGAGGTTGGGGGCTATTTCATGCGTGTACCCTCCTGCTTTCGATTATGGCTCCTTCGCTGAATGGCCCAAATTGTGTCTCAAGGTTGTCTGGCCAATAATTCAGTGGTGGACACTGCATGCAGAACGCTATGTACCGGTCAAACGAGTTATATGACCGCGCTATGCGGCCATTATGATAATGCGGGTGGGTACCTGGATAACATATATTATGCTGTCTGCAAATAATGCAAAATTATATAAGTTCATATATATTCTTATGCAAGTACACGTATTTTAGGTTTTTTTTATCGTTCATACTGAGAACAATATCAAATAACTGAGCAAAGATTTCTTTGTTTTTGCTGACCATAAGCCGCGCTTATGGTCAGCTTATGGGCTTATCTTTTTTTATTGCAAAATACTTGTTTTTCTCAAAAGCAAATTCAGTGGGGAAGATCTGTTGAACACTTCGTTCGTTGTTTTGCTCTCTTTCCCTGTGAACATGCTTTCAAATCGTTTCTAATTTAATTTCCACCACCTTTATAAGGAAAAGTCTTCGTAATCATGTTTTGTTTAGAATTTTAATTTATTCAATTTTGTGAACTTATGTATGGATTGGGAGCTTCATTTCATGGTGAATTTCTCGTGGATTTACATTGTATAATTCAACAATATTTTTTGTCCCATTGTGAAATTCGTAGGCTAGTAACTAACCCACAGTGATACAGATTCGCTTTATCGATGGTTTTGCCCTTGATATTTCCAACTTGGTGACTCAGAAGCTCAGTTTGACTCAATATTCTCAGACTGGTGTTATTACTACGTAAGAAAATCTCATATCAATATTCAAAATCACTGGGCCCGTTTCATATTACTATCGACTGTTATATTATAATTATTATACGTTTAAAATAACTTGAAATTCGTGAACAGTTTGCAACCAAAAGACGAAAATGTCTAAATCACATGTGCTTCTTCATAATTGGGTGGGGGGGGGGTTCATTTATGCAGTCAGTTATTTGTTTTTATGTTTCAATCATCCAACACTCTTCCAATGCTCATTATTGATATTTTTATCACAGACATATCGGTACAAAGAAGCCTTAATTCTGTCTCGTTGCAACTCCCGCCCCCCCCCCCCAGTACTCCCTCCGACGCTCATCACCGGTCTCCCCTCCTTAATAAACCCTTAATGATCCCCTCACACTATCATTTACAACATGGTCTAGTGGACAGCCTCGAATTCTTACAATTCTATTTTTTTGGTTTGGAATTGTTGGCCATCCAAAGCAGAACGGATGAGTAAATGGTCAGTTTTACAGAGGGAGTAAGTGAGGATGGTGTAAGCGATGCAGTACTATTTTTTTTGGAAATGCAAGGACGAATCGGCTTGAGTACTGCGAGTGGCGATGGGTCCAGACAAGCGGTTCCCTGCGAGGCAAGCTCAGTCCTGTGCAGCCACAAATTCCTTGAAATTCTGCATCACAGACGTCTTCTCCAATGCTTATTATTAGCCTATAGGCCTGCATCTCAGTAGCGGATCTTGAGGAGCGTTGGGGATTGCAACCCCCTCCCCTCCCCCTCCAACCCCCCCCCCCCCCCTTCGTTCAGCCGCTGATTCATGTTATGATACTATAAAACAAAAATTGGGTCAAAAATAATACATGGACTGCCAAAGTTCCTAAATTTGTTCTAAAATTGCCTTAGAATGCAGGAGAAAGCATCGTAGGTTTCAAAATTTTCCGGACCCCTAGCAATGCGACCCGCCTGCGCCTGCTCGTTAAAAAGCCGCCCCAGGGAACATTGGTGCCATATTGGAAATTTATAGAATGGATTTCTCCCTGCTAACGAATTATGGCCGGAAAAAAAGACTAAAATAATGCATCCACCACCCTGCTTGTCCCTCCCCCCCCCCAAAAAAAATGTTACCGCCGGAAGATTACATCATTGACCATGGATGCAAATCTAAGTTCAAACTTTGAATCTTATCATGGGCATTATTTATACTGCGATTGCTCTTTCGAAAGCTTGTATTAATAGATAAGATTTGGACAATTCGATTTCAAAACGCATTTATTGTTTCGGGTTTCTGCGTCCTAAATGTACGGACAGGACATAGTGTAGAAGCGGACGGCGTAATGGGCTATGTATCCTTTGGCAATTTGGCGCTCTATAAATCCAAGGGCGGATCCAGAACATAATTTTTTGGGGGGCCAAAAAAAAATTTGGTCCCCCCCAAAAAGTGGGTCAAAAAAATTTCGGCGTTGGGTTCGGGGCCCGCTTGAGGGCCCCGAAAAACTTTTGGATTCTAGATGCTCTGTGGTGCGATCTGAGGCAATTTCTGACCACTTTAACCAATGTTTTTTTGAGGAAAAGATGGTGGTGTACTCATTGCCTGCCTTTATTGCGATGTCACATAAAAAAAAAAATTGGTTTCGTGTTTTTTTTTGGGGGGGGGGGCCATGGCCCCCTTTGGCCCCCCCCCCCTGGATCCGCCCTTGTATAAATCCAGTTATTATTATTATTATTATTATTATGTGACGTCACTTCTTCGACGTTACACTACGACCAAAGATGTTTCGAGTGTTTTCCCAACTGTTTGATTCCAGACAAAATGAATTCCACAAGTCCTACACATTTTAAATGATATAACGGTCCAATAGGTTTCGGAAAAACTTTCACAATTTTGTCTGACCGACAAAAAAAAAACAGTGACTGGCAGCTTCACATGCAAACACCGGTACAGGAAGCTATGTGTTGCGCCTTCATTTGACTTATTCGCCAAAAAATTATTTGAGCCGTTTGTTTATTTGGACAATCATTTCACTACACACGGTCTCGAAACAAACAAACAATGGTTTTGTAGTGATTAATCTCCGAAGAATGGTAGGCTAAAAATGTGGCCACAAGCGAAATTAAGTCGAGATTGCAATTTTCCCGCGTCAAAATATCCGTCGTTGAGATTTTTAAAGAAACAACCAAATTTTGCAGATTCAAATTTGAGTTTTGAGATTCTGAAGAACGTTGTATTTTTTTTTAATAATGAAGGAGTTGACGAGCGCCACCCCGCGGTACTCATTGCTGAATATTCTCACTTGAGGGCGCTGTCCGTCAAACATGCACCCTGACGTATATAGGTGGTTTCTTGAGGTAATGGAAACTAGGTGCCAGATCGTGGACCCACGAGTGTCGTGGTCAGAGAAAGAACTGGGAAATTCTGTAAATCGACCAACATTTTCGCCAAAATTTGACGCCAGAGTGTCATGGTTAAAGACTGAGTTAATGTACACCATTCAGATTTTTTTCGCTAGCTATTTTGAAGTGAATAAATTGTAATTAAAGAGGTACAATCTGACTTAATCGAAGAATTGCAGTGGCCTGAAAAGAAGTTCGAACTCGAGCGGCTTTTTTATTTGCACAGGAACAATACGTAGGCCTACAAAACAACACACACAAGCCATGGCTGGGGTTACGCACGTTGAACAGGTAGGATACAGTTTCAGTTTGGGGAATGAGTTCCAGGAAAAAATGTTGCAACCTCACGCCACTACAGCAGTTGTTTATAATTTAAAGTCGATGGAGAGTCAAGCAAATTTTCTTCTAACTAAGTTCCAAGTATTTCCTAACAAAATTGGAAGTGTTTCTCAAATCTCACTCTCGCTCATCTCATCAGTCCCACTCCCAGTCTTATCATTTTTGCAATGACTGACCTTGGCTTCATTGGCATTGAGATGATATTATGAAGAAAAAATTGGCATCAGGTTGCAACATTTTTTCCCCCGAGTTCTGTAGTTTTCTCCTCACCTTGTGATTTCATTGCTCTGGCATGTCTGGAATTAAATCATATATAATGTATTAATTATCTCAATGAAGGTCAGTCATTGCAAAGATGTTAAAAAGATATGAACCTGAGTATTACCTGACTTATCTGAGTAGACTGGAACCTTGAGTGCTGAAAAACTATCCTCCTATCGACAGACAGACCATGTCCTAATGTTAAAAAGGCGATAAGTTGGGCCCCAAGTAAATGGTGCTAGGGGCTCCTGGTGCTGCGGGGGCCAGGAACCCCATAGTTTTGGGGGTAAGTCCCACTAGGCCTATTAGTATTACCAATCACAATGGTGAAAAGTTGAATTTTGTTGGTTTTTTTGCTTTGAAATATAGACGGTTTTACAATTTCAATTTTGTTTGGAAGCAAACTTTAGGTATTAGGTTACTAACAGAAGCCTAGATTCTGTGTAATATCCTGCAGAACTTTTGAGGGAACAAAATGAAAATGTGCAACTGTGATTGGTGAGTCCCACTGTGATTTCTCTGCAGCTGAAACTAGACTTGGAAGAGGTCAACAAGTTAATTCCCTTGGCAGAGCGTCAGCGTGTCAAGGCGGCGCTGTCCATTGAAAAGGGTCGTATTGAGGCGGAGATTGCACAGAAAGAAAAGGTGGTGTTGGCGAGCGGAGGGGGTGATGCGACCAGCCCAATTCCGGCGGGACAGAAGCCTAGGCAGCTCTCCACAGCAACAATCAATACATATGGTGGGTACAGCTTGCATGGACATAAAATCCCAAGGCCATCGGATCATCTCCATCCCCCCGAATATTGAGCGGACTAAAAAATAATTGTAATTGTGAATAAAAAAAAGGCAGTGTATATTTTGCCGGAGACGGCAAACCTTTAGTAAACGTTAGTTTGCCGGATATGCACTGAACATGCGCAGTTACTGTTTTTTTGTACTTAAAACATTTTCCGGTGACAAGTTTTAGTCTGGCTCCATGCCAAAATTATCGTTGTTACCTCGTATTCACAAGATGGGATTCAGACCATTTTATAATTTCGGACTTTATTTCCCTTTAAAAAAAATCCTCCAGAGCCACAAATCTGAAAAAGAAAATGTAATACTCTGCAAAAAATGTTTGAGACATGTTAAAATAATAAAAGAAGAATATTCTTATTTATTTGGGGATGAGTAAAAAAAACCTTAAAAATGTGTTGCGGTCGGAATCGAACGCGAGTCATCCCGCTTACTAGAACCTTTGCTTAACCATTACACCAAACGTGCTACACAACTTTTGGTGGGAATTTAATACATGTTATAATTCAGCCCTATTTTAAAGAGTACAGCGCCCTCTGTTGATATGGATTGCCGCCGGCAAACCTTTAGTAATCGTTAGTTTGCCGTCATTACCTCCGGCAAAATATCCACTATCTAAAAAAAACAATGCGGACATCCAAGCCACTCATAAATTACAGTTGTACAGTGCCACGTTGTGTCAAATGGTGTCCAGCCCTCCCCCCACCACCAAAGCAAGACCCCCCCCCAACCCAGCCTCCCCCGCTCCCAATTTTCATAAATTTTTTTCAAGTTTCATAAATTCAAGATTTTCCAGAGTCATCCCCCCCCCCCCCCCCCCCCCCAATTTTGTAAAGACAGATTTACACCACCCGGCGCCCGCCCATCCTAACTTCATCCTTTTTCTTCTTTTTTCCCGTATCAACTCCTACCTCTCTCTCCTTCCTTCCAACAGGCTGGGACCAGTCGGAAAAGTTTGTTAAACTCTACGTCACTTTGAACGGTGTCGGCTCCATCCCGGCGGCAAATGTAACAGTGGGATATGAAGAGAAGTGAGTGTGTGACTTTAACCTTAACCGCCCTGAATCCTTCAAAATCCTCTTTGCCAAAGTGGAGGAATTTGGAGGATTGAGGTTACATGGCAAAAGTGCGTTACTGATTTCGTAGGATGCACTTTGTCAAGGTCTTGGGCCGGACCTTGTGTTGTTTTTGCTCAGCCAAGCATAAATATAGGCCTGGATTATGCTTGAAAACCTCCATACTGCTCCAGGATGTCACTGGCCAAGCCTCAACATATTGACAGTCAGTGCCGCAGGATTTTGCAGGATTCAGGCAGTGGTGACCCCTCCACAGACCATATTCAAGAAATAATGGAGGAATTTGCAGGATTGAGGCTAATATACAATTTTTCCATGAGGCCAATTGGAGGATTTTGCAGGATGGAGGCTACTTCCTAGCAAAAAGGCCTAGGGAGTTACGGTTAATCAGCTTTCCATAAATGCTCTTAGTACAGAAATATGTCTCTCAAGCATTGATAATGCGTCAGTGTGTGAGTATGCTATTTGTTTATGTGCATGAATGTCTGAAAAGTGTTTTCATCCATTCATAAGATGGAATTTTTGCGTCGGGGTGATGTAAATCAAATTAGTATACTCAGTGTGTTATGAATAGTTAATGCGGTACCCGCTGCCATGTACATCAGATTCGAACCAGCCAACCGATCTCGTTAGCTCGGTGGTCGAGTGGTAAGACATCTGCACTGGAAAGCAGGAGGTCGTGGGTTCGAGTCCCACCCGAGTGATTTTTTCCAACTTTCACTCTATACACACTGAGTATACAGTGTGTATACTTCGGTGAAGGGCAAAACCTAATTTGATTTTTTTCATCCAAATAGTTTTTGGTGGTTTTTTTTTAAATAGTTATTCTGTAGATTTTAACAAGCCCTCCTGCTACCTGAATAGTCACAGACAGTCAACAAAATCAATTGTCTTCACTTGCCATGCCTTTTGCACAGGCTAGTCACCAACAGTCAGATCATATTTCAAGCAAGCACTTTTACTAGTCAAATTCAGTCAACAGACAAAAAACAGCAAGAAGTTGGCACGGCTGGCTTTTAAATCAATCACCTGCAGTCAAAGCTGTATCAAGTTACATACATAAACAGTCACAGCCAGTCAATCCTGCTTCAATCCTGCTTTACGTAGGCTGGGAGTTCTTAACTGTCACTAACTTTGACTGAAAGGACAACGTTGCACAGAATGTGTGTTTGCTGAATTTGAATGTGGGTTATAATGCTTACATTCGAAGACAATACTATGAAAGACCTTTCAGCACAAATTGACGAAATCCTTTCAATCAACATTTGACCAAAATGTCTCGCCACTGTTTTATACGCCTTCATAAATCTCTTTGTAACTCTTTTTCTTCCTTTCAAATCAGGTCCTTTAAGCTTGTAGTTCACGACCTGAGGGACTCGAACCACCAACTTGTCATAAATGGACTCCTCGCAGCCATCTTGCCAAAAGAAAGCCACTTTAAGGTAAACATTTCCAGCACTGTGCCCTGATCAAAGAGCTGCCTAGATAGAGAGAGTAGCCATAACGTCATGGGTTCATTCATTTTTTTGAGGAGGTGAGTTGACAACAGCCAGACTTTTGCCTGAGAGCAGTCATTTTGCAAATTCAACATTTGAACTGGGGGTGATAAAAAGGGGTTCCTTTAGAAGCTAGGAACGTGACAATGAGAGGTAGCAAAATTAGGAGGTCAAATATGGCTGGAGTGGAGGCCGGACCGCACGAGAGAGGACAGGGTTTTGCTCTCGGTACCCGAGATTTCATTGGCTGCTATGCACCGTAATTTCTCCCTTTCCTGTTGTGTGATTGGCTTAGGTGAGCTTGAATACAACACACAGTACCTGTGCTCAATCTTGAGTCAGAGATTCACTCTGGGTCATCAGAGTCATCAGACTCATTGTGTTCCTCTGCAGGGCAATTCATGTCAGCGCCGAAAGTGAATAGAAATAGGCTACACATGTTTGCAATGCCAAGTTTGCTTTTAGCAGTGACATTGATTTGTGTGTAAAGCATAAATTGGACTTAAAACTGAACAGTCACTCAGTAGAAATTTCTGTTTTCAGGTCAAAACCGACAGCGTGGTGATATTTCTGAAGAAGAAGGAGCAAGGCAGAAAGTGGAGTTATCTGACACAAGTGGAACAGAGACTCAAAGACAAGAAAAACAGGTGCGCTTTTTGGCAAGACAATTTCCTGAATCCCTCTTTAATACACCTCTGTGCTAAACTTACAAAGAGCATCAGGCCTTGCTCAATCCTACAAAATCCTCCAAAGACTGATGCATTTTGAAAGAGAAGGAAGGCGAGGTTATTAAAAGGATGTGTGAAATGAGTTTTACACTGATGCCAACTTGTAGCAAATTTTCAATTCTCTGAAATGTATAAAACTAAACTATCAGACATCCCTTTCTGGTAAAAATTTGACTTAAAGCCAGAGTCCATCATTTGCAGCTTTCCAAAAATTAACTGACGTAATTATTGTTGAAAAATATATTTGGTTGAAAGATAGTAATGGGACTAAACTCCCTTTGAAATTATTCTTTCTGGCAAGCTGTCATTTTGAAGAAATCAACGAAAGAAGGCCTTTCCAACGGTGCGTCTTAAGAAGCACCGTTGGAAATTTCCGTTTGTAGTTTGTTTGTTTTATTCGGCGAAGCACGCGCAAGCGTTGACACGACGCACACGCGCGCCTGGTTGCTATAATTCGTCGGATCAGTGCGCGACATCGCGTAGCTGCAATTGGCTCAGTGAGAACGTGTCTCGGACACTGAATTCAGGCCCGATTCAAAACATGATTCAGCAACTTTTGATTTGAAATTGAGATCCTAGAATGTTGTTTTTCTCGGAATATACAGCTGAAGCTAAGCTGAAACTTCATCAGGTTAGTTGTTCAGCACCCTTGTTTAGATTTTGAGCACTTTTGTTGCTTCAAACGAACAAAATGCACAACTTACAAGTGATGGACTACACCTTTAACTTGTGCACAGTGCACTATTTTAAACATTTAAAATGTTTCATGCTTTTCCTGACAACTGAGGGAGCTGTTGCTGTAGGAACACACTCTTCAGTTTAGGTTTTTTTCTCTTCACATTGAAAACATGGGCAGACACTGTTCTCATAGTATCACTGACGTACTGAAACAACAAGAGCAGAGAAGTAACCACAGCAAACCCCCCAAAAATCCTGGTGACTTTTTTATGCTGAAAAAGATGTGACACCGAAGTTTATTGCCTTGAATGACATCACAGTTTTGCTCCTGAAGAGGGAAATTTGCATTAGCAAGGATTGCAAATGGGTCCTTAAATTGGTCCTTTTAAGTGTGTTCTTGATCGGGGGGGGGGGGGGGGGGGGGGGGGGGGGGGGGGGCAGTATTCCCAGTTGAACGGTCCAAGTTGAAGAGAGCAAACTGAGACAAAACCTGCTCGGACAAAAATGAACTTGAACATTTGATTTTGAGTTGCCGCACGAAAAGTGTCGAATCTCTTCATTAACTTCAAATTCTTGTGCAGTACACATTTTTAGCGAGCAACATTCTTGTTAAGACAATAATGACAACAGGTTGTAAATTGTCCTATTATCGGAGTGTAGCTTCAGCCTCTACGAGATGATGGTGTAGCTAAGGTATTTGCGATAGATCACAAGTACATCACAAGTCAATAACAAATCAGTAATTCACAAGTAATATGGGATGAACAATAACAAAGAAATGCCTTTGATACATTTCATTTGGATAGCGTTTGATTTTCAGGCATGCAGATTTTCCTCGGATCAGCTGATTTCCTTTTTTTTTTTACTTCCCATGTGTGCCATTAAAAATAGCAAAAACACTGTACGGAGTCTTTGAAAGATTTGAATGTCCTCTTTTTTGTGACTTACAAGTTGCATGCCTGGATTTTGACATGGGACTGGGTGACGTGTGACAGACTTTTGATGACCTGCGTTCCATCACAAGTACTATACCTTTAACAACACTGTCGTATTCCTAAACTCTTTCCTTTTGTCCACAGTGCGCCAAAGACAGATAACGCCCCAGACGCAGGCACAGGCATGATGGATATGATGAAGAAGATGTACGATGAGGGTGACGACGAGATGAAGAGAACCATCGCCAAGGCCTGGACAGAGTCCAGAGACAAGCAGACAGCCGACACAATGTAACCCTGTAACCCCTAACCCTACAAGATCCTTCCAAACCCTTCAAAACCCAACAGAGGAGTTGTGAAGGACTTTGGCCTGGACCAACTGAGATCCCTAGTAATCCACCAGAAAGTGTTTGTGGAGGTTTCTGGCTTGGACAGAGTCTAGGGACAAGTAGGTAGCCGGCATAATGCAATCCTGAAACCCCCTAACCCTACAAGATCCTTCAGAACCCATCAGAGAGATTGTGCAGGATCCTACAAAATCCTTTGTGGAGGATTCTGGCTTAGACAGGGTCTAGTTTTTTTGCTTTTTTTTCTTTCTAAATGTGCAGGGTTTTTTTGTCCAATTGTTTTCTGTAAAACAACCATTTTTGTACATTTCCAAAGCTTTTGGAAGTTTGAGATTAATAGTTCTGCGGCATTGGTTTTGTTCATATTGTTTTCTTTGCCAAGTGAGTCCAATGACCTTGTTACCTTTGAACGTGCTGGCTTGACCTTGACATCAACAGTCGTACATCCAAGGAAGAAATTCTGAATATGTTTTCACTGATTTCTGAAAAATAATCGTATCCTCTGACCACTGATTTTAGATGTTAATGGTTAGATTTTAAATAAAATCCTTGCAGCCCATAAATATGGTATGGTTTTGTTTAGTTGGGTTGTAACAATTTTAGCTCAACTTTAACAAGCATTCTACTTTGCACATTCAGTAAATGATGTGGAAACATACATCACTTCAACATACATTACTTTGACAGATGTCTCTACTTTTTGTCCTCTAGAACAAAACGGAAATCAGGATGTTTGAAGTCAAATTTAAAGAATATGCCGAATTGCCTAGACTCATTTCATTATTTCAGACGTGGCTGAAGTTTTTTTCTCCTTTGTACATGTTTTAGGAACAGAGTTACACATCAAGGTGAAATTGTTAATCGTTTGTAAGTTCCTTATACTGCAAGACGTTTCTGTTTCTGTTTGATATAATTTGTATTAAAAGATGCACAAAAGAAACCAGGATGTTTTTAGTTCAGATTATGACGGACGTCAGTCGTGTGTTGCTGTGCAGCATTGCAATATGTTTATCTCGCTTCAAATGGTTTTCCTGAGTTATTTACAGAACACCATATTTGACATAATTTTGATAAAATGCGAGGTTTGGTTATTAAGCCCCCCCCCCCTTTTTTTTTTTTTTGCTGAAAGGAATTTTGAAAAAAATGAAATTGCTTGAGACAAACAAGGAAGATTCATTGGATTCTCCAAGACACCTCAATGTGGATGGACGGCCTTTCAAAAATGAGAAATGCCTCAAATATTTGGGGGTACATTAGTGGAAAATGAAATTTCTTAATAAATCCTTTAAATTTGCCAAAATGTCAAAATATGAGAATCTGAATACATGTATTGAATAAAAAAAGGCCAAAATCTCAAAAAAAGGTATTCTGAATATTAAAATATACTCATCTCCGTGGAGAGGTTTTTCGGAAACATTTGCAGAAAAGCCGTTTTGACCAAATATAATTTTAAAATGTAGGGTAAACCCATGCATTTTTAAAAATTTCGGCTCAATAATGAAAGTGCTCCAAACTTGTACGTATCATGTCTAAGGATTCGTAAAAAAAAAATCCTGAATGTTTTCTAAACAAATCGGCCAAAAAGTTTGGGAAAAAAATTGTCCAAAAAGGAGGATCTTCTTCATGAATCCATTCAGTCTGCCTTAAATCATCAAAATTATGCAAATCTGATTTATGGAATATGCTCATCTTGCATCTAGAGGTATTTCAGAGTCGTTTATAGGAAAGTCGTTTTTTTGACCAAATTTACTTCAAAAAGGCAAGGTTAACCCCTTGCAAATGTTGCCAATTTTGGCCGAAAAATGAAATTGCTCGAAACTTGCACGGAAGATGTCTAATTGAATTCCCATTCGATTTTTTGGACAGATAAGTAATTCAAAAGAATTACTGCATCAGAATTTTGGGGAAAATCAGTCATGTTTTTTACAAATTCTCTCAAGAAATAGAGTTATAAACAAATCTTCAAAATTAGGGGTGTATAAATATAAAATGAGGCTACTCTTGTATCAATTTTTTTTTTTTTAAGAAAAGTCTATTTTTGGTCAAATGTAATTACAAATGTAAGGTTAACCCCTTGCAATTTTTAAAATATTTTGGTTAAATATGTAATTGTTCATTGCTTGCATGGAAGTTGCATCAGTGTCCCTAAAACATTCCTAAATGTTTTCTTTACAAATGGGTAACTAAAATAAGGGTATGAAATTTATTGGAAAATTAAAAAAAATAATATCTTTTTTTCCCCTAATCAATCTATGAAATTTGCCCAAACTGTCAAAATTATGGGAATCTGAATATTAAAATATACTCATCTTGAAGTAGGTATTTCTTAGTCTTTGGCAAAAAACTCTCTCTTTTTTTGGACAAAATTTAAAAAGGCAAGGTTAACCCCTGGCAACTTTTCAATTTTTTGGCTTAAATTGAATAAGCTTGAAATCTGCACGACAGATGTCTCACAGTCCCTAAAACACATTCCTAAATGTTTTATAGACTGACAAAATGATAAATTCCCAAACGAACAAATAAATTGATTTGCAACCAAATTTTAATGTTGACAATTATATCTTTACAGATTGTGCGTGTTTTCCTTGTTTTTGCTTTTCAGAAGGAACAAGAAACCTCTGCATATTTCTCTTTCTGCAGGAACAGAATTACAAATGTACATGTATCACATTTTCCGAAAATGAAAATATCATAGATTTTCGAAAAGTGAAGTACTCTGCCATATTAAAATACCCGGTTTTACACTTTTCATTACAATTATTATTTACCATAAAATATACTTCGAAGAGAAGACATATCGTGGATTTTTCCAAAGTAAAGTCAGCTACAATAGAAAATACCCTGTTTTAATATACTGAATACTACTATTATCTCCAATTGTATAACAGTACATGTACTTCAAAGAAATACAGAAATCTGATGTAATGTCAATTTATATCAATATGGTTTTCACTTTAATACAAAAATACTTGCAAAAACATTGCACAGCTGCATATTGTCTGAATATCCATTACACTTCCAATGATATCACTATTGATTATTACAAAATCACGTACAATAAAGTTACAAGTACAAACTGCCGCTGGTATCTTATATGAAGTATTTTCACGAAATCTGGTAGATAGCCGTCAGAAATCAGAAGTGCACCAATGAATGCATTTGTTCTGATTTCGTCATCGATTCTCCAGCAGTCTCGTGAAAATACGTCACCGCGTAATACCCAACTAGCTGTTACTATAAACAGAATTCACTGATGACTGGACTAGTCTGTGAGTTTGATCGCCACTAGTTTTTGAGAAAGCTCCAGGATTTTGGGGAAAGCCAGCGTCTTTGATTTCCACATCTCCAGTATACCTTGCAGGCCGTTCTGTCACAATAAACAATAAAAAAATATGTAAATTATTCACTGGGAAATAATTATACTCTGGTGTGTTTCCTCTCTTAAGGTGTGCGTAAATTTGTCTGCAAATAAATTCCTGACAAGACAAAATATGACAACGAAACTCCTGACAATTTTTCAGACACCAACAGAGAGAGAGGGGGCGGGAACACAATGGCAGGCTTTCAAGCAGACCCAGGTGAAAAAGTAGAACAATAGGATCAAAATTCGATACAAAAAAAAAGAGGACAAAAATCAGGATATAATAGGACTTTTGTGGGCTTTCAGGAGTAGGTTGCGTTGATACTCATCCATGTCCACAACATCATAAGCCTCATTTGGTAAGCCTCATTTGGTTTGACTTGTTATGACTTGTTATGACGTTTGATGACGTGTGATGACTTGTGATGACTTGTGATGACTTGTTATGACTTGTGATGACTTGTTATGACTTGTGATGACTTGTTATGACTTGTTATGACGTGTGATGAGTTGTGATGACTTGTTATGATTTGTGATGACTTGTGATGACTTATGACGACTTGTTATAACTTGTGATTAATTGTGATGACTTGCGAATACTTGTGACGACTTGAGATAACCCAGTACAATTCTGCAGCTATAACAAATTCTAAAACACCGAATGTCGGATACAATCGACAAATAATCTGATTTAATCAGCATCCCCCTCCCCTTTCAAAAAAAGGGACAAAATGACAACAAATCATTACTGACCCGTGCCCCAAGGCAAGCTCCGATGAACCCAGCCCGACTGGCATTGCAACCCCCGGCCATCACGGTGGTCCGTACGGCTGGTGCCAGATCAGTGTGGTTTGCTAAGCAATGCAGGGCTGACTGGAAGGCCCCGGGTAGATCTGACGGAAAAAAGGGAATAGTGAAATCGAAGATCAGTAAATTATTACTTCTAATTTGAATACCATCATTATGAAATTATTGGGAGAGAAACTATGGATTTCTCAGAAATGCAAAGGGAACAACAGCTTGGGCCAAAGAATTTTGAGATTTTTGAGGAGGTGGGAAAATCCCAGATAATTATTCTGGGGAAAGCCCAGGAATAAGGCAGCGACTGAAACATCTGTCGGCTAAAATTGGATTTGAACCTGGGTCAAAAATATCAAATGCGAGAAAAGTAACCCAGCCTCTTTGTGTGTGTGTGTGTGTAGAGCTTTCCTTTTTACCTCAGCTATTCTTGAAGAATTTCTTGGCCGCCTCGCGATGATTCCAACTCCTCTTTTCCAGCACCTTCTTCAGTTGACCAATCACGGCCCGGTCGAGATCGTTGGGGTTGTTCCTGGATGGACTCGCGAGGTCTTTCACAACAGCTTCCAAAGCCGCGTCCCCATCTATGCCGGGATTCAGAATAAACTGTTCCAAGATTCTAAGTACAAAATTAAACAGATTTATTTGGTAGATTTTGTACAAATGTTAGGGCTTGTAAAATGTCTGATAACACAGAGAAAGGTTCTATATGGTGAAATATTTTCCACGATTTCATTTTTTTGTTTAACTATGCTGTCAAAAATATCAACAACAAAAAAAGCATAAGAGTTGAAGAGTGCATGTGACAAGCATGCAAGCAAGCAAGCAAAGCGCCACAACAACTATTTCTTCACCAGATCGTAGATATCCTTTTCTCTAATCCCAAGAAGAGTGTGGCCAAGTTGTCTTGGTTTGTGACTTATGATCTGAGGGACAGGGGTTTGAATCCTGCTGCTGGCTAGGTTGTGTACCTGGGCGAGCCACTTCGCCCCGACTTGCCTCTCTCAGACTCTCCACCCAGGGGTACCAAAGCTGGTAAGTAACCTGCAATGGACTGGCAGGCATGGAAAATATTCTCTGCCGTTTCATGCCGAGGAAAACAGAAATACATAACAGCCTGACGAGCCATACTGGCTCAGGTCAGATATGTTTGTATCTCTGATGCCCGCTGAGGTCAGAATCTCGAGGTCAAGACGCAGTCTTGTTTTGCATAACTAATCTCCGAATCTGCTTGCATAGCATAGACCCTTGCTGTGCAAGGGGATATTCCATAGCCTAAGTGGGCGGGGCTTATGACTGAATGCGGAATGTTCCATTACCTGGCAGCGGCTAGACCGACAACGATTGCCTCCTCAACGACTGTTACCACGGCGATGGACTGTTCCACTTTCTCCAGCATGTCGCTCCTGCCAGCGTACATTGCCACGACGGGCGTCACGGCAACCACGGCATGCATGTCGCACATGACTTCACTTCCTGTGTGCAGAAAAACAAAAACAAAGTTTAGGAAAACTGAAATCATGTATCAAGTATCGAGTGCACATGGAGAGGGTCATGGGGCTCACCCCTCCCCCCCCCCCCCCTCCTCCCCCACCTAGCTACAAATAATTAACCCTAACCTCCATCAAGGTTGACTTCCAGGTGTTAGGAGGTTTTACAGAGTTCCACGGAATTCAACCTCAATTTGCTGCTTGATATAATTTTGCATTCTTCCCTTACACCACTGGTATCTAGTTACCGGTTCATAGAGCTCCCTCTTTTGTTCATAAATGGAGACCAAAATGTACTATGTTTTGTAAGTGTCCGATTTGTATTATACCTGTCTTTTCCTTGCCCTCAGCTCGATTGGCCAGGAAGTCCTTGATGGCCTTTGGACTCCACGGACCGTGGATTGGGTACTTAGATTGAACCCCGCTCTTCATGACGTAGACTTTGTTCAGGTTATTCTCGTAGTCGGTGCCCGGGCCGAATACCGCCTGGAGTCTCTCCCCATAGTCGGCCTTGTCGAATCCTGTTTGAGAAAAAGAAGAGACGGTGTTCTTTTGATATGAAGGACATGTTGCAAAATGAGTTTGAGCAAAAGGAACAAAATATCAGACAATATTTGAATTGAGTGTAAACTCCATCTTGAACAAAAACTGTACACTTGCGAGACCCCCTCCAATGGCAAAAGTAAAGCTGCCCCAATACTTTCGATTGGTCTATAGCTTGCAACCCTACGGTTCATACTACCTTCGCAGGCCACTAGTGATTCCAGTAGGGCTGTGGTCTGATCGGCGTATGCTGTCCCCCGTCCCGTTTCGATGCGATAAAACGGGTTCTTTGACGGCTCCCAGAATTCCAGGGAATTTTTATTTGATCCCACGATGGCGTCCAGCTTGCCCAGGTTATATATCCAGTGTAGTGGTTGGGCTGTATAAACAACGAACAACAACAATAATGTCAGGTTGTTTCAAAATAAAATGTATCAAATTTTATGAATAGATGCTACTGTGAAACCCCAGGCAATGCATGGAACTTTCTGCACAGCAACTGAACAAAATGCCAATGTTGAGTGCGATCGATGGATCTGCGGTATCACTAGATCGCGTAGGAATGCACTTGCACGATCGATCGATCCTGTAGGAAAACTCAAACTTTACTTCCCTTTTCTTTTGCAAAACAATCCTCCAGAGCCGTGAATTAGAAAGAAAAGGTTATCGACCGATGGCGCAACGACCGACCGATAGCACAGTGTGATCAACCAATCGCCAAATCCACCGATTACGCCCAACGCCAATTAAATTAAAAACATGCTGACACAATCAATTAGGGGGGTCCGCTCATAAGTCTGACGCTTCGTAGGTCCGACGCCTCATAAGTCCAACAAAATCGCATCCCCTAACCAAATAAAGGCCCATAAGTTCGACACCTCATAGGTCCGACGCCTCATAAGTCTGAAGCCTCATAGGTCCGTCGCCTCATTGCTACGACGCCTCGTAGGTCCGACAAATTAAACGCCTCGTTTTTCCGACGTTAGACTCATGAGGCGTAGGACCTATGAGGCGTCGAACCTATGAGGCGGAATAAATAAATGTTATGCCTCATACGTCCGACGCCTCATGAGTCCGAAATTTTGGACTTATGAGGTGTCGGACCTAGGCGTCGGACTTATGATACGGCCCCAAATTAGGAATGCAAATTTTTTTTTTTTTTTTCTGCAGTGGAACTAATTGACCATCATGACCATTGCAGCTATGTAGTCCGAGTAACTTGGACCCAACTTATCGCCTTTTTTAACATTTGGACATGGTCAGTCCAAATGTTAAAAAAGGCGATAAGTTGGGTCCAAGTTACTCGGACTAGCAGCTATGCAGGTTTTCGTTTAGTACTAGAATTAGGCGTTATTTTCATGGAGGGTATCTTCTAGCACCAGCCCAGTCTATGACAGAATTCAGTGGCTGGCCGGCCATAGCTGACTGGGGCTAGTCATGCTAGTGGGGGTGACTAAGCATTTTTTTTTTTTTAGTTTCAGTGGAGATTACAAACAATTCATGAACGTGAAACTTACCAGCTGCATCACTCACAAGACAGCCCACGATGGCTGCAAGGGCCCTGTTATTTTGAGTAGCTGCACAAGACATGATTCCCTGGTTTTTTTTACCAGCAGGAATTAGCAGATTTCAGGTCGACCATTCTATCGGCACGACATGCATAAACGTACACAATATTATGTAATTCTAACTTACCCAACCAAGACACACGAGGGCGCTGTTTCAGAACATTTTATTGTCGGTTGGGGGAGTGGGCGTGGTGCCGGTGAGGGAAGGGGGGGGGATTCTGCAAGGCTGGGGCCAAGCAATTTCGGCCAAGGCGCGCATAGCTGTACCAGCTTTTTTGTCAGATTTTTTTCGCGAGTGGATCTTAAAAAATATCTTTCACTGTTGAAGGCACCATGAAATAGTAAATGTTGCCCATCTTGTAGTTGTATTAAAATTTTACAAAGAGCTTCTCGCAAACAACGCATTTTCCCCCTTTTTTTCATGTTTATTATTTGAATACTTTGGTTAGTGATTGACACTTGGCAGATATGAACGAAAGTATACGCAATCAGATACCCCAATTTCTTGATGGCAGGTTACGATTCCTTTCCCGAATTACTTAAATTGCAAATATCAATGTGCAAAAACATAAATTTTGTTTTTTCGCACTGCTGTTCAACCTCTGCAGCACATCTTCACAAAACAAAAACAAATCGGGATGAAAACAAATTTAGGATAAATAAACCGACATAACTTTTTAATGATATACTTCGACTTGAGCATGCTCATTGCTTAAAAACACATATCAAAATCTACTGCATGGCTTGAGTAAATCAAATTTCTGTTGGCAGTGGGATATTTGGGGGAGGGGTACAGGGTGCCCTCCCCCTTGCAAAATAACAAAAATAAGGTGTTTCACAACTTTGTTCACTAGCTGCAACAAAGAGCGCCACCCACTGTCTGAAGATGTCCAATTATCATCTGCTTTGAATAGCTCCTCCAATCGTCACATGATGTCCCGCCCAACTCCCCTTCCCCAAACTCCCCTCTCCCCCCCAACCCCCTCCCTCCACCCCTTTCCCCAAGGAGAGTTATGCCGTTTATTAAAGTTGGATTTCAATATGCGTAGGGTCAGGGAACACTGAGTTCACATGGGCATTCTGATCAGCGCGTGGACCGGTACCCATGGTTGTGCCAGGCCGGGTTGACCTCCGAGCGAAGTTTTCTGACTGATGCGACTTCAGCAGCATGAATTTGACCATTGTTCTCCATCGAGACTCCTCGTGGATAAAGCATGCAAATGGGTCACATGGCCCAACTCTGTTTTTCTTCCATACTATTTACAAATTTCTCCTCCTATTAGAAACGACAATACCGCTCACTGGCAGCTGGTTTACGGCAGCGTCCCATAAACATAAGTCAGTATGGCAACAGTCGACTGAAATCCTCCTGGGTCAAAAGAGAGCTCAGTCCTCCACTGATGGCTTAAGACAACTCCTCCCTGAGAAGATGTTTGCAGAGCATCTCATGAGTACTCAATCTCTTGATGTCTGTAAGGGGGTAAATTAAGCATATTAGACTTCAGTATTCAAATCCTCCAAACTTCCTTGCATATTTTCAAGGATCTTGGTTTTCCCCCGAAACTTTAAACGAACTCAAAACTTGAAACATGTCAGTGAAACAGTATCTGCTATAAAATACAACCCCCCAAATCTGTTCATGTATTTTGTTCGTTTCCAATAATAACACCATTCAAAATCCAAAGAAGAATGTTCAAAACCTAACCAGTTTCAGGTGTTTTTTTAATTAGGTTTCAGTTCAGAGTATATTCACTTTTTGAGAAAACAGTGAAAAAGCATGCACAACCTTTTGGTCACAAAACATGATTTTGTCAACAGCACTCCTTATTTCCAAAAAAAATCAATTTTGTGACCAATCGTTGGAAACCACCTACGTTTCTTGTATTCTTCTAAATGCAAGCCGGAAGGAATAATTTCACAAGGTGTTTAGTACCCAGTACGATCTTTAATCCAAGTAATATTGATGACAATGTGGTAGTTTACTTCTAGGATAAATGCCAATGATCCCATATGCATTTATGATAACGTAGGATAACAGAAACTATGACTTCAGTCTGAATTGCTGTACTAGAAAACCAGTCTGTAGTTCCTGACTGTGCAAAGACTTACTTGCAGGACGGGCAGAAATAGAAGACTGTCTGTCCCTCATCAGCTGATCTCGTCTGTCGGGTGTGGAAATGGAGACCATCGTGTCCGCACTTTGCGCACGCCCTATCAATCTGCAAATATTTGATAATAATGAGTTGGAATGTGGCAATCTCTCTCGGCAGACTTTGCGCTGTTGCACTAGAAGTAACATGTTGTATTTACCCATTATTAGCAATTAAGTTAAAACTTTGAGAACAGGTATTTTTTATATTATTGACCACTGATTACTCAATGTGGAGATATATCACACGGAATTATCCAAAGTACGTTCACAGTCAAGTGAATCAAAGTTATCATCAAAAGTCAATCGCAAATCAAATTGTAATGAAGGTCATAAGTAAACAGGGTATCAACAATGGTAAAGGAATGCCTACGTCAAAGTTCAAGTTGAAAGTTCTTTACTTGACTTGAGATGAAATGAGATGAGGTTTTTTGAGACATGAACCATGACTGATGCGTGAAGACATGTTCAGTAAGGAAGGTTCAAGGAACTTACTTGAGGAACTAAAACGTACATGCAAAAACCAACATACAATTCCACAATTCACCCTTGAACCCTGAATAAGTCCACAGCTTAATTACTAGGCTACGGCTTAAAACTACACGTGCTCCTATGGAAGCCGCTGCAGCCACTTCCCACAGACAACAGTGTTACCACAACTAGCCACAGCCATGAAATTTGGACCCAGCCCTAATAAGCCATTTGCGAGTAACCTATACCTTTTGGGATTTATATTCGAAAAACATCTGGTACACTGACTTGCTCAGAATGCTTGGCACATTTTAACTTTAAATTCTCCAGACCAAAGACACTGTTGCTAATCACATGATTCGGGGCAAGCTCTTGCATAGTTACGTAAGAGACGCTCAGCACGAATACACTGTTCACAATGGGTGAGAATGGCACAAAAACACCAGACCATGCCGGAGCTGGGGGTTGCTAGCATAAGGCTTGCCCCGAATCACTTGATATAGTAACAGTCTCTTTGGTAGGGAGAATGCAAAGTTGCAATGTACAAAGCATTGGATTAAGTCAGCGTTCCAGATTGTATTAAAATTTAACTCGCAAATGGCTTATTCCACAGCTAGTACTCACCAATGGTCCAAGGTCTTTCTCAATGGTGACCTCTGTATGACCTTTAGCCTTCTTGCGTGTGTTGAGCTTCAGATGGGAATAGTAGACAATGCCATGTAGAGCAGCTGCAGAAATTTAGGAATGAGGAAAGGAAGTAGTCAGCCAAAAAATTAAACAGTCTGTGCTGCGCAGTTTGTTTGTTTGTTTTTTTCTTTTAGGCTCCCTACTGAAGAATACAGAATCATTAGCCTCAATGGCTGGCCGTCGTTCCCCTTCGTAAAGCTGCCAATAAGTTGAGTCGCTGCCGTACTCGTTCCAGTTGTAAACAATCTTGCACGAACGGCACCTCAGAGTTACTTTTTTCGCCCACTGTAAGCCACCTAACGTAAAGAACTTCACTCTTGTGATAAGATGGTGTCTTGTTAGGTGCTTGTCGCAATTAATACAGTACAATACAGGTGGAGCGAAAAGTGTCGAAATGTTGTCAGAATTGGAGTTGGATACGTTGGTCGAAGAGGGACTGGAGGTTGAACAAGAGCTGCTGGAGGTAGGCCTCGAACTATCTTGTTGAGCTGGGATGGGACGCAAAATATTCAGTAGTGCTGAACACAAATCGAGATCGGCAGACAGGCCCTCCGACAATAGCACTGGGTCTTCCAGTCTACTTTCTACAACGCAATCTCTCACCCTTTGCACTTCTTCAAATGAAAATTTCGCAACCAATAGAGAAAGTTTGTCAGAGACAGACAGCGTTTTCGACTTGGCGAAGTTTGCCACGTTACTCAGCAGGGGATTCCTGGCCGTTAAATACGTTGAAATGACACTGTCCTTATGGTGTAAGTCTGTCAAGAAATCAATGACATCTAATTTCTTCTTCTTAGACATGGCATCGTAAGGAAAGGAAGGAGTAGCCTAATCAAAATAATTGATAATCTAAGAATGAAATTACTTTGAAAAAACCCAGAAGATGAGATACAAATCTACGAGAGAAGCATGATGAAGACAGAATGACACGTGTGTGCGATGATTCATGCCGCGCGACGGATAATAAAGACACTGGTAACCAATGGAAAGAAAGTACATTGTGATGCGGACTGCGTCCCTGGTACTTATTATTTAGACTGTGTTCCCGCCATATATATTAAGAGCATGCATTATAGCAGGAAACCAGATTTAGCATCGAAGGCTCTTTTGCGCATGCTCAGTTTCGTGTCGACGTGTATGTAGACTACACGATACAACGGTCAGTTAACGCCGTCCCATATGTTACCCCAAATGGAGCATGACGCATACAACTTTACAAGAAAAAGAAGCGCTGAGATTATGTTGTTTATTGAGGTCAACCAACCGTGACCGTCGTAGCCGGCTACGAGGTGGATAGATCGAGTGGCGGGGTATTCTGAAATGGTGCCCCTAATAAAAAGTGTCTTTTCGTTCTCTTGTGTTGTGGAACGGGGTTCTAACACGAATATCATTGTCACGCCCCAACTATCGCATCGGTCCCAACTATAGTTGGGACTGTCCCAACTATAGTGCGGCAGTTGGGTCGGCCCAACTATAGTTAGGACTGGAGTTGCGCCGGATGCTTCATGCTTGATAGATCTTGTTGGATTAAATGTTCCGCGGCGCTGGCACCGTGTATTCGTCGTGCATGCATGCCGCAAGGCTGGCCGGTCACGTGGTACTGCCTAGTTGGATGAGTTGTCCAGCTGCTGGGTTGATTGTCCAGCAACATTTTGCAAAATTCAAAGATTGCCATGGCCGGCCAACTATAGATGGGACCCACCCATAGCTAATGTCAAAGGTCCCAAGTAAAGTCGGTCAGTATGTAACAGAGCTGTAGGGAATGTTTTATAGTCGTCGTACATCAATGTAAACTATAGTTGGGACCGCCAAATAAAAATATTGCGGTGGCCCAACTACAGATGGTCCCCACCCATAGATAATTTCATTGGTCCCAAGTAAAGTCAGATGTGTATTAGAGTTGTAGGGAATGTTTTATAATCGTACAACAATTTACACTATAGTTGGGACCGCAAAATAAAAAGATTGGGGTGGCCCAACTATAGATTCGCCCCATCAATAACTAATTTCAGTGGTCCCCAGTAAAGTCAGACATGTATCAGAGCTGTAGGGAACGTTTTATAGTTGTACATCAATGTAAACTATAGTTGGGACACCGCAAAATAAAAAGATCGGAGTGGCCAAACTATAGATGGGCCAGCCCAACAGTGGAACTTACAGTTGGGACAGGCCCAACTATAGTTGGGCCAGCCCAACTGTGGAACTACAGTTGGGACAGGCCCAACTATAGTTGGGACAGGCCCAACTATAGTTGGGACCAATGCGATAGTTGGGGCGTGACATCATCATTGCGTCACGGCTGCCGACCGACCGTACATTCGATTCGGCAGACGTGACGCGCATGACTCACTTCTCGAGTCCACTTCATACGGGCACAAACTGCACTTCATGAGCAATGTTCCCAGATGAGGAAAGGGTAGAACAGAACCGCACTGAGGGCAAAATTCCCTCGGAGAAGTAAAGACATCGTGGCTAGATTTGTCCGACATTTCATGAGTATTTTAAAACAATGATTTATGCCCAAACATGAACACCAGGCTGATCTTGGCACGAAAATTGGGCCGGATTTTCGGCTGGCCGGATTTTCGGGTAGGCACTATTTTTACGGCGGCGCGCCGCCGTGAAGATTACCACTACGGTGGCCCTAAACAGCCATTGCAAATAAACCTTAGGAGAAAACGAATTATAAAGGAAGTTCAACTTCTTATCACGGTGAATTACCTTAAATAACTGAAACTGTTGTTTATTCGACTCTAAAGCAAATCGTAATGAAAACTGTGGCAATTTATTTTCAGAATTGGGAATGTTAATGTTATAAATTTTAAAGTTACTGAATAAAGGTTCTGCCTTATAGCCGATGAGAGGGCGCTATATCCGCCAGACTGCCACTCAAGTAGTGGTGCGTTGCGGGAAAGACCGGGTCTCAGGCATGAGAATCCTGTTTAAACAGGAATTCCTTTTTGTTTTTTGCCAAAATGTCCAGGGGATGCCTCATTTCACATTTTTCTTTCTTTTTTTCATAAAAATTAATGCTCAAACGGCCCGGCCGCAATTTTCTTTTCCCAAACTACAGGGTTGTTTAGCGCCCTCTACGATACTTTTATGACACGTACGTAAGCAGGTAAAGAAAATACGGATATCCCATTTTGACATGATTTTGTACCATCCTAAATGTCCGAAATGTCCCGTTCCAATTGCATACACGGGTTGGAGGACATCCAAAGTGTATTCTTTTGGCGCCCCGAATAAATCGGTATTGAAACAGAGTCAGCCCAATTAAAATAATCCGACGATTGATCATTACGATACAAAAGACCGGTTTTTGCAAAGAAAATACGGATATCCCATTTTGAAATGATTTTGTACCATCCTAAATGTCCGAAATGTCCAGTTCCAATTGCATACAAGGGTTCAGGGACTCTCAAAGTGTATTCTATTCGCGCCCCGAATAAATCGGTATTGAAACAGAGTCAGCCCAATTCAATTAATCCAACGATTGATAATTATTACGCACAAAACAGCCGTTTTCCAACGAAAATACGGATATCCCATTTGGAAATGATTTTGTACCATCCTAAATGTCCGAAATGTTCCGATCCAATTGCATACCCGGGTGTAGGGACTCTCGAAGTGTATTCTATTCGCGCCCCGAATAAATCGGTATTGAAACAGAGTCAGCCCAATTCAATTAATCCGACGATTGATCATTACGATACAAAAGACCGGTTTTTGCAAAGAAAATACGGATATCCCATTTGGAAATGATTTTGTACCATCCTGAATGTCCGAAATGTCCCGATCCAATTGCATACACGGGTTCAGGGACTCTCGAAGTGTATTCTATTCGCGCCCCGAATAAATCGGTATTGAAACAGAGTCAGCCCAATTCAATTAATCCAACGATTGATAATTAACGTACAAAACAGCCGTTTTACAACGAAAATACGGATATCCCATTTTGAAATGATTTTGTACCATCCTAAATGTCCGAAATGTCCCGATCCAATTGCATACATGGGTTCAGGGACTCTCAAAGTGTATTCTATTCGCGCCCCGAATAAATCGGTATTGAAACAGAGTCAGCCCAATTCAATTAATCCAACGATTGATAATTATTACGTACAAAACAGCCGTTTTCCAACGAAAATACGGATATCCCATTTTGAAATGATTTTGTACCATCCTAAATGTCCGAAATGTCCCGTTCCACTTGCATACACGGGTTCAGGGACTCTCAAAGTGTATTCTATTCGCGCCCCGAATAAATCGGTATGGAAACAGAGTCAGCCCAATTAAATTAATCCGACGATTGATCATTACGATACAAAAGACCGGTTTTTGCAAAGAAAATACGGATATCCCATTTGGAAATGATTTTGTACCATCCTAAATGTCCGAAATGTCCCGATCCAATTGCATACACGGGTTCAGGGACTCTCGAAGTGTATTCTATTCGCGCCCCGAATAAGTCGGTATTGAAACAGAGTCAGCCCAATTAAATTAATCCAACGATTGATAATTAACGTACAAAACAGCCGTTTTACAACGAAAATACGGATATCCCATTTTGAAATGATTTTGTACCATCCTAAATGTCCGAAATGTCCCGATCCAATTGCATACACGGGTTCAGGGACTCTCAAAGTGTATTCTATTCGCGCCCCGAATAAATCGGTATTGAAACAGAGTCAGCCCAATTAAATTAATCCGACGATTGATCATTACGATACAAAAGACCGGTTTTTGCAAAGAAAAAACGGATATCCCATTTTGAAATGATTTTGTACCATCCTAAATGTCCGAAATGTCCCGTTCCACTTGCATACACGGGTTAAGGGACTCTCAAAGTGTATTCTATTCGCGCCCCGAATAAATCGGCATTGAAACAGAGTCAGCCCAATTAAATTAATCCAACGATTGATAATTATTACGTACAAAACAGCCGTTTTCCAACGAAAATACGGATATCCCATTTTGAAATGATTTTGTACCATCCTAAATGTCCGAAATGTCCCGTTCCACTTGCATACACGGGTTCAGGGACTCTCAAAGTGTATTCTATTCGCGCCCCGAATAAATCGGTATGGAAACAGAGCCAGCCCAATTAAATTAATCCGACGATTGATCATTACGATACAAAAGACCGGTTTTAGCAAAGAAAATACGGATATCCCATTTGGAAATGATTTTGTACCATCCTAAATGTCCGAAATGTCCCGATCCAATTGCATACACGGGTTCAGGGACTCTCGAAGTGTATTCTATTCGCGCCCCGAATAAGTCGGTATTGAAACAGAGTCAGCCCAATTAAATTAATCCAACGATTGATAATTAACGTACAAAACAGCCGTTTTACAACGAAAATACGGATATCCCATTTTGAAATGATTTTGTACCATCCTAAATGTCCGAAATGTCCCGATCCAATTGCATACACGGGTTCAGGGACTCTCAAAGTGTATTCTATTCGCGCCCCGAATAAATCGGTATTGAAACAGAGTCAGCCCAATTCAATTAATCCGACGATTGATCATTACGATACAAAAGACCGGTTTTTGCAAAGAAAAAACGGATATCCCATTTTGAAATGATTTTGTACCATCCTAAATGTCCGAAATGTCCCGTTCCACTTGCATACACGGGTTAAGGGACTCTCAAAGTGTATTCTATTCGCGCCCCGAATAAATCGGCATTGAAACAGAGTCAGCCCAATTAAATTAATCCAACGATTGATAATTATTACGTACAAAACAGCCGTTTTCCAACGAAAATACGGATATCCCATTTTGAAATGATTTTGTACCATCCTAAATGTCCGAAATGTCCCGTTCCACTTGCATACACGGGTGTAGGGACTCTCAAAGTGTATTCTATTCGCGCCCCGAATAAATCGGTATGGAAACAGAGCCAGCCCAATTAAATTAATCCGACGATTGATCATTACGATACAAAAGACCGGTTTTAGCAAAGAAAATACGGATATCCCATTTGGAAATGATTTTGTACCATCCTAAATGTCCGAAATGTCCCGTTCCAATTGCATACAAGGGTTCAGGGACTCTCGAAGTGTATTCTATTCGCGCCCCGAATAAATCGGTATTGAAACAGAGTCAGCCCAATTAAATTAATCCAACGATTGATAATTAACGTACAAAACAGCCGTTTTACAACGAAAATACGGATTTTTTACCGAGTACGGCGGCCAATTGTCACAGTCACAGCCCGTCCGGTGCTAGCAGGCGCGGACCGCTGTGCGCCGGCCGACCGTTGAGCCCTGTGTCCCCGTGATCAATATAAGGCGGACGCAGCCCACCATTGGGATAAAAGTAAGACGGAAACCGTTTATTCAAACGATTTTGTTCTATCGTAAATGTCATAAATTTCCAGATCTAATTCGATACATCGGTAAAGTGACTTCCAAAGTCTATTAAGCGCCCCGAATTAATTGCTGATGACTTAGTTTCAGCCCAATTAATTTTATACCTAGGCCAAAATTCAGACAAAAAACAACAGCACCATTTTTCATCAGAAATACCGATTTCCGGCTTTGGAATGAATTTGTTCCATCGTTAATGACAGAAATTCTATTTTTTTTTTAACAATCCTTCCAAGAGATGATCAACAAAGATTTTATAAGCGCACTGAGAAAATCTGTTCGTTAAAAAGCACCGCCCAATCAATTTAATTATAAGACGGAGATCAGGCTTTTTGCCATCCATTGACATTGATTGAAACGGAAAGCCGTATTTTCAAACGATTTTGTTCAATCGTTAATTACAAAAGAATTCAGATCTGAATGGATAGGAGGGTAAAATGACTTTCAAAATTTATTTTTTAAGCGCCCGAATAAATTGGTATTGAAACAGTCTCCGAGCCCAATTAATTTCATACCGAGGTTAAAATTCGGGCAAAACAAACATTTTTTCATCAGAAATACGGATTTCCGGCTTTAGATTTCATTGGAATGAATTTGTTAATGACAAAAAATTCCTCTTTCTGTCACCCTTTTACTTTTACCGTTTTTGCTATCCATTGTTTTTAAAATATGTAAGGGTTGGATGACCTTGAATTTATTAATCAAAGAAGCACCAGTATGGGCTCCGTGCGCGACCAAAAGAGGGCACGTTTTTACCTCTTTTGATAGCTCCGTGGACGGGGGACACAGCGTGCGCGTACTGTACTGTACTGGTTCGGGCGCAAAGTACGCACGACTTCCTGAGTGTGCAAAAGCTATAACAACCGTGTCTTCGCAAGAGTGTCAGGCGTCGTCGGCGCGCGAATACATTCGAATTCAACTTGCAAGGGTCTCTGAGACTAATCTCCGCCTCCAACAACTTTGGAGACATTCGAAATACGCAGTGGATGGATCAGGAACCAGTCTAGATCACCCCAAACTCTCCTTTTCTGGCCGTTAATGGGTACTACTTGTGCACGGAGCGGATAGTAAATGAAAGATACCAAATGTAATGATTAACGTGAAAGTTCCGTCATTCATCAATCGGCCTCAACCATTTGATTTTTTATAAGCTGCAT